AAATCTCTACTAAGGCAAGAGAAACTTGAAGCAACAGATCGCAGTTCTTCTGCTTGTATTTCATCACGTGTCATAGCTGCCTCAAATGATTTCAATAATGGAAAATCTAAAAATCAATAGAATTTGTTCGTGAATGATATTTTTTAAATGAAGAATTTGCAACAAAGGGGCAAAAACTACGGTGAGGGAAATACTTTTTTCAGGTTTCTTATATACCAGTGAATTATTTCTTTACGCTTTGATAATAGAAATAACGTACCATTATAGTACAGCAGGTTTTTTTTTTACTTTTATTATAATTCAAGTCTCTGAAAACCATTTAAATTTTTGTAAAGAAAATTGATGTAACAAAAACTTGTCTGATATTGCTATTGCGCAGTGCATATAACCGATTATCTATATAATGAGAATCATTGAAAACCATCTCGTGCAGAACACTTGTTTATTGAATCAGATACATAATACGTGTTCAAATTCATAATGAGTAAATATGAGCCAACTTGTCAAAAGCTGATGAAAACAATTATGATATTTTCTAATATGTTCAAACCTTTGTAGCCGTCTATCTTCACTAACTTCTTCCTGTATTCATTGGTCGCCTTTAATATTTTCTTTGATAATAAATCATGGTATGCTGCTTTCTCCTCAGCATAATGTTTCCAGAAAGTCAGATCTGTTAAACTGTATAGAAAGAATAATTAATACATGATACGAAGTAACAAATTTCAAAGTCTGATACTAGTAAATATATATTCTACCACACTACATTTTGATAACAATATTTATCCGCTTGAGACAGTTAAATCTTTAAAATGCGCAAAGTATTTTGAAAAATGAACATTGGCTCCATCATACGGTGTTTAAATATCCCAACTCGTTCGTAATCCCCGTGTGTGTTTTGATGTCATAGATTTTATGCATCACTGGTAAATTATTAAGTCAGGGATTTCGTTACCATAAATTACTTAAAACTTTTACTAAATTCTTTCATAGATACAAAGATTTGGTTAGTAAATTTGGCCGTACCTGTAGAAAAAACGGTATTTCACATCCTAAATTTTACGGTAATATTGTACTAAAAGCGCGGGAATCACTATGTGATTCGTGTAAACTCATCGAACCTTTAAACCCATGCTGTAATAAGATCTTTGAATATTGTTTACATTGGCACAAATATCGATTTTGTCATCAACAAATTAAAACATAACTAAATTTGTATTCTTTTTGAATGGGTTTTTGGATGTATAAATACACCTCCACGTTCATTTTCTATATAGAGATTGCTTTATCTATATGTAACATTATACATATTTATTATAAGGTTAAATCCAAACTATCCTACTGCATTGCACAAGTCATGTCTTCTTTGACTGTCCATGGCGTTAAAACACTAAATCCCTGGGAAGTTTTTTAGTTGATTTTAGTCTCTGATGCATGATTTTTAATTATTGTTTTTGGCTTTTAACTAGCTTTCAGTAACTGCGAGTACTCTCAAATCGTACTTTCGTGTTAATTTGACCTGTTACACAATTTGTAATGCATTTTTGTTATTCAATGATTACTTATTTTGTGTTATATCTCGTCTCACTATTTTTAATATGTACCACCTTTGATAAGTTTTTAGTATGACGATAAATTTTCACTGCTAGTTGTCTTTTTGACATTGTGTCATAGATCACATTTATTCGTTCAGTGTATGTTTACTTGTTTTTGTTAATATGTCTTTTGATTGAGTTAAGTCATTTCAATTGATATTTTATAGTCTGTCTTTCTATGTTGTAATGTTACACTACTATTTCAGGTTAGGGTGACGGTTGGCGCCTGTTAAAAAACGTTTAAATCCGCTGCATTTGTTTGCACCTGTCGTAAGTCAGGAACCTGTTTCAGTGGTTGTCGTTTGTTGATGTGGTTCTTTAGTATTTCTCGTTTTTTTATATTGATTAGACCGTTGGTTTTCCTGTTTGAATTGTTAAATACACTATTCATTTTGGGGCCCTTTATAGCTTGCTGTTCGGTGTGAGCCATGGCACCGTGTTGAAGGCCGTACTTTGACCTATAATTGTTTACTTTTTACACATTGTGACTTGGATGGAGAGTTGTCTTATTGGCATTCATACCACATCTTCTTATTTCTATTTAAACTATGGAGAGATAAATATTGTAACCAACGAGGTAAAGGGGTACAATCTGTTTCACCAATGATTTCATGCAGAATTAGAGAAAATGAAATACAAAATACTACGGAATTGAGCTATGCAATGATTTCTATCAACATATAAACATGTGATATTTAGTTAACAAGGAATATTTACACCATAGGGTAACCCCGAACGATAACCATGCGCAAAATTGAGACCAAGCTGCACAGTCGCAAACCATTTCAAGAGTAAACCTCAGTTGTACAAAACCACACGTGTTTCTGTATTTCAGTTTATATACATCAGAGACCAAAGATTTGTACGGGGAAAACCATTTGATTTTCTGGGAAGGATGATTTTGAAAATGAATATCCTTGCCTGGTAAAAGCTGAAAATAAATAATCTTGCCCAACACTGGATGTATATGATTATGAATATGCTGCAATAAAAGATGTAGGAAACAATTGTACACAAAAGTGAAAATATATGAAATAAATAAAAAACCGCGGTAAGATAAGCAACAGATGAAAGTCGAATAGTCAATTCGCAGAAAATCCTCCTGACCCACCGCCTCAGAATATTAAATGGTTGTCTCCTGAATAATACGCAAGATATACAGAACTATGAAAGGTTATGAAAGAAAACCAAAGTTTCTCTCAGAAAAATGTGTTTTGTTTATAAATTTTGTTTTCACGATATTTTGATACTCATTTTTATTTGGCCAGTTTGTTTCAACTTTGCTTTTAAGAGACTGATATCAACAGGGGTAAATTTGGAATTAGATGCGTTTACTTACTGTCTCTTTTTAAATTCAATGGAATCGGGGTTGAACAGTTCATACGAAGTCATTTTGACAGCAGAAACACACAGAGCTACTGGAAAGAACAACTTCACTGCAGTCAATAACGTTTCCCATAGACACGTTTGTAACTTTATACCAATATTGTGACGTTACATGATTTGTTGATGTAATGGTCCACGCCTTGCAACATAAATTGTGTTAGCTCAGTTTTTAACAACTTGCGGACAATGGCCCGCACAAAGCATAAATCATAATAAGGACCATTAGAGTTACGATTCCGCAACTAACAGCGTGCATGACATTAGAACTTTCGCATTTCACACAACAAAGTCGAACAAACACTATCGCTATAATAACACACAAACATTCATTTAAAATAAAACAATGTTTTACGGAATATTCGATTTTACACGGTAAAGTACAAATAAAAACTAACATTTTTATATAAGTTGTAAAAATAAGATGTGGTATGATGGCCAACGAGACAACTCTCCACTAGAGACCAAATGACATAGAATTTAACAATTATAGGTCACCGAACGGCTTTCAACAATGAGCAAAACCTATACCGCATAGTAAGCTATAAAAGGCACCGAAATGACAATTCTAAAACAATTCAAACAATTCAAACGGGAAAACTTTTTTATACAAAACAATGAACGAAAAACTAATATGATATACAGCAACAAACGACAATCACTGAATTACAGGCTCCTGACTAGGGACAGGTACCCTCCTTTTTTTAACCTGGAACAGTGGTGTAACAGTACGACATAATAACAAACTTTAAAAATCAGCTGAAATGGGCTTAACTCATCATATCGATCAAAGCACATAAAAACCCTAACACAAACACAAAAGCCCCTCTGAATTTAATAGTCTGTGAATACTCGATTTAAAAACCTCGAATACATTACTTATGATAAACTGATTGTGCTTTTTAAAATGCATCATATCAAGACTTCTGTTGAATAAGGTAAAAGAAAATCGATTTCATACTTTTTTGCTACTACTGGATCGGCACATCTGATGGTTGTTTATCAGTCACCGTTGACACCATCCACATAGTAGCCAGTGCTTCGGCATTGGTATACTATTTACATGATATACTTTTTCTGTAATTTTCAGTCCATAAACCATTCAATTTGTTTTCAACACCCTTAGGTATAATCTGGGAACATATATTATGTCCAAGATATAAATGACCTTAGTTTGTGTGGTGTTTTTTTTTATCAAACAACTGGATACATCTAAAGGCAATTCCAGAAACCGCGTAATGCGCTTATTGACATCCGTTTTAATTAGCGAATGTTCTTGCGATACTTGCTTTAGAGTCGTTAAAAATAGACCTATGGATATTTGACTTACTGATTTAAAAAGAAATATGTAAATGTAATTTCAATTCATGAACATGAAACCGACATTATATTTTTTGGTAAAAGTTGGGCCTGTTAAAAAATACTAATCCTTCTTTTGAAGTAAAACTTATTTGCTGAAGAAAGCAATACATAGTCCCTGAATTTTGTTCAATACGTGTGGGTCTGTGAGCAATTGTATTGAAATTATTGAAAATCAAACTTTGAACAATTTCTACGGTATCTTTACTTTGATGTGTATGAAAAAAGAGGGGGTAAATAAACCAAGTGAAAAGAGCAAATGTTAAATCTGATATAGATATTGGCTGCTCGTGTCTGAAAAGCTCAAAAGAGTTGTCGTAACGGGCGGTTAGTAGTGACTGTGTAAATTCCTGTCCCAAATACTGCTCCGTTTATTTCGGGTATGGTCAATGTACTCTCAACAAACATGTGGAATATTTTTCCCTTAATTTTGTAATTGATCCTAACTTTAATATGTTTGTAAGATACATAAAATTTCATGGATGATTTCATTTGATTTATTATTAAATTTTTTACACATATGATGAGTAAAATTCCGTAAGAGCACAAAAAGTATAAAATTTGAAAAGAATTCCTTCCTTGTGTTTTGTATACTTTCATATTATATAGTTCATATGCAATCATGTTTTGAATTTGATGTCCTTTGTAAAAACCACACTTTGAAGGAAGTACAAAAAATGTAGTACCAAATTATAATTATGATGTAATCATATTTAGCTCGTTTGATGAGTTATGGGAAATAAAGCTAGTTCTATTACGAGTATTGTTTTATTTATATTTGCTGGACAAATTACTATTTCGAAAAGTAAGTTTTAATTTTAAGCTCTTTCAAAGGTTCATTTCTTTCGAACAGGTGTATATTTATAAAAATGCTAAAACTATTTGGTCCTTCAATATATATAGCTACAAGAAATGTCATGTCAAGTTGTATTGTTTTAAAGCTGTATTTTAACTAAGCAAATAAAAAAAACAAAAGACAAAAAAAACTTCAAAGTTTTACTGCCTTGTTCAATTTGATTAATTGTTTAAACATTTTTGATATCAGAGACTTGATCGCATCTCAATGTAATTAAAAATTTATATACATAGAATCGGTCACAGAGTTATATTTGTCACTCAATCTGTCTATAGAAATTAATTGAACGAGTACAGTAGTCCGATCGACGCTCAAATTACTGTATTTCAGATACTGAAATCAAGGACACTCTTCTTCTGTTTTATTAACTAAAAAAATTACACGAAACATATTTAAATAATATGGAATGCCTGTATATATGAGGTATTGTCTGCACTTTAGGCGCATAGATAGATAGATCAAAAACCGTAAGTCGAAAAAACAGACAATATCATGGCCAACAGCACATACGGCGAAAAGACAATATCATGGCCAACAGCACATAAGGCGAAAAGACAATATCATGGCCAACAGCACATACGACGAAAAGACAATCTCATGGCCAACAGCACATAAGGCGAAAAGACAATATCATGGCCAACAGCACATACGGCGAAAAGACAATATCATGGCCAACAGCACATACGGCGAAAAGACAATATCATGGCCAACAGCACATACGGCGAAAAGACAATATCATGGCCAACAGCACATACGGCGAAAAGACAATATCATGGCCAACAGCACATACGGCGAAAAGACAATATCATGGCCAACAGCACATACGGCGAAAAGACAATATCATGGCCAACAGCACATACGGCGAAAAGACAAACAATTCTGCAAAACACATCACAGAAAACTAAAGACTTAGCAACACGAACTCAACCTTAAACTGGGGGGGGGGGGGGGGGAATCAGGTCCTTACGAAGTGTAAGTAGATCCTACTCCACTAGAGACACCCGTCATGATGCTCATGGCATGTAAAAATCAGTGATAAGTCGCATTTGGTGATATCGCAATCCAAAAAATAGTTCGGAAATTTAGCTACGACGACAGCTGTTTATACGAGCTCTTCAATTAATCTTATTCAGAGGTTAGCAGCACAGGCAAGTAATGAAAATCAATTTTTGTATTCAAAATATTTTAATTTATTCATTGTTTATGCGGTACGAATGTTCCAAAACTGCATGTTTAAATTTATAGTTTTATAATATATGTTTGAAATATTTCCTGTTTCAAACCAGGCGAACCATGCACAAACTATGTGATTTTGGAAGGCCAGAAGGAAGAAACAAGATCACCACTCCTAGGAAGTTCTGGTTCTGCTATTTCAGATGATCGTTTGATTACAGGGTGGTATAGAGCTAACCTTACAGCAGGTACAGACATGACTAGAGAATGTCCACCCTTTATGCGTTGTGGAACTACGTTTCCCATATGGCTGAATGGTAAAATACAATTCTTTAATATATCTAGTATACTTTTACAGCTATTTCGCTTAACTGCCTTTTAACGGTTACCAATGATAATTATAACAGCTGTTATTGCTACACTATAATGGCTTGCTACAGTTACCGGAAATAGTTCACTGCTTTAGTATTGGATATCTTTAATATATCTAGTATACTTTTACAGCTATTTCGCTTAACTGCCTTTTAACGGTTACCAATGATAATTATAACAGCTGTTATTGCTACACTATAATGGCTTGCTACAGTTACCGGAAATAGTTCACTGCTTTAGTATTGGATATCACTTCATACTATTGGTGTATGGAATTAATAGCTGTTTGCTGTTGAAGGTACACTCGATGCTATTGTATATTAACTTCATATCAAAATGTGCTGTTAATATTCTAGAAGCTGGAGTCACATTAAAGGTTCTACCTGTACTTTACATCAAACATAGATTGACAATCGAGTCGACAAGACACTAATTTTACCCACTCTCGTTTGGATGAACTTATATTTCAAAAAGGGTTAACACGACGCAGAGATATATGGTTAATTTCTTGTTCAATGAATAAATGGACTTCTACTACACTAATTGACTTTTTGTTTTCTTTTTCAAATTTAAGGAAACATACCAGCCGTTAGTGACGGAGAAGTAGTGAGATCTGTATGTAAGCTTAGCGTAAGTGATAGTTGTTGTGACTCAAGTTATAATTTAACCATAAAAATCAAGAACTGTGGAGACTTCAGAGTTTATTATTTAGACACGAGTGGTGTACCATCAAGCTCTGCATTCTGCTTTGGTAAGTTATGGACTTGTAACGTGAGAAACTTGGACATGTAAATATATTGTCAGACAATGGAATTATAACACAGTATTAAGCGTCGTGTATATATTTACAATATATATGGTGACAAATTTAAACGTAATTTTTCTGGAAACAAAGTACCAGGGTTTTTTATTATGCAATTCAAATTGTAGCTATATTCAAATTGTAGCTATAATAATAATGTGGCGAAGACTGATAAATAAGAAGATTTTTTTTTTAGTTTTCTAACATTGTACTTAAGGTGTGTTTGTCAAGTCTAGTATTAAATATCAAAAACTTATTAAGGACGTTGTCCATAATTTTTGATTTCGTGTGTTTCAGTATGATTGACCACCAGGTTCTTGTGAACCTGAGATTTTTAAAGCTAATTACATACAAAAAGGGAAACAACTCATACAGAACTTTGATTAGTTTTACTACATTCTATATGTGATTTTAGTTTTAACAAATTATGATAACACAATAGCTTAAATTGATCATTATACTGAATTAAAAAAAAAGATGTGGTCAAGATATTATGTAATAAAATCTTGCTTATTGCCTTTGTCTATTTTCGTCAATTTTTTTTTATTCTAAAAGGTGACATTCCGAAAGAAACAACGACATCAGATCAAACGGTTATGGCGTCATTAGGTGAGTCAAAGGGAAATCTTATCCAAATAAAATATGAATAATTTTCTTTTTATTGTGACGACACATACTAAATATTTAACCATCTTTAGTGCTCAACGGTTTTTACAAATTCAACGACGAATATAAGTATATAATTTGAATATGATTATTTTCTGTTTTTTTTTTCTTTTTCTGTTCATAGATGCACATAACAACTATTTCCCACACTCTTCATACTATATTTCAGGAATGTCTTTTCTTCAAAGTACAGCTATGCCAGACTTTGAAAATACAGTATCAAGATCACGAAAGGTTGAGGATAAAACATCAACATTACCGGTTTCTGTTGGTGTTGAGATGACAACGACTGCTGGTTTCACATCACTGTTAACATCTACTGATTCTACAGTCACAGCACTCACTGATAACACAGGATTGGAGAAGATTACAGATTCCGGAGTAACCTCTACACACACAAACACAACTTACAACGGCGAATCATCTGTAACGATTGGCACCGTTGCAAACAATGACTTGGCAACCACTAGAAACACTGAGTTAACATCAACAGTTACATTCACAACACTAACATGGAGAGAGATTATAAGTCCCAAAGCTTCTTCTACTACAATGCTTAGTAATAGTCTCAGCACTAAATTAACAAGAGAAGAAAATACATCTGATGTCGACGATCAAACAACTGAAAGTATGACTAAAAGTACTGAAAATTTACTAGTGACATCAGAAGTAAACAATATTAAAACTTTACCAAGCAGCGAACATATAACATCAAACTCTGAAGGCTTTAATAACAAAAAAGTTACAACTGAAGAAGTACATAGGAGTACAGATATGACAACTTTGAAGCCTGGTTCTATTCAAAATGATGGTAATAATAATACTAATAAAAATAATTGATAAATATAGTAACAAATTGATAGCAGCGAAATATTTAAAAAAGAAAAAGAAGGAACTCAAAAAGGAAAAAAAGAAAATCATGTAGGAAAATTCTGCATTACTATACTGCTATACTGACTTCCTTATAATTAAATTTTAGAAAGAACGCAATAAACGGAAAATTTAAAAATCCTTTATATTTACGGTTTTTTTTGTAGATGTGCAGATATGATTTTTTTCGACTTCCTAAACCGATTGACTGGGAATAAAAATAGAATTTGTTTTTCATAGTTTTACCAAAGATAGTGAAGATATTATCAATATTTAAAACGTTGAAAAATTAACAGTTCATAAATTATTTAAAAAAAAAAAACTAGCATATTTCGCTGGTTTAAAACCTTAAACGATATTGATGCTTCCATATAGATGAACTCTAACAAACATATGCAGTACTTAATTACAAATGATAGTTAACTTTTCTCTAACGAATTTTTTTAAGCATCAAATGTATATTTATACTGATTATTGTTCTTATTATTATTATAGTATCTATCAGCACAAATATGGGTTTGGTTATTGTTGTCTGTGTTTGTGTGACACTTGCTGTTGTTTGTGTCATCGGTATGATTGTATTGTGTTGGTAAGTAAACGAAGTTGGACGAAACTTTATAGATTCTATAGAAAATATATAAAAGTAAGTATTATTATTATCTATACTGGAACTAAATTTCTTTATAAAACGGAAAGACCTAAAGTAGCAATTGAAATGAAAAATCCAGTTTTAAACTTGACTGCTGTAAAATGTTTTCATTACATTAAGTAAAAGAAGTCAGACGAAATTTTGTATTCCATAGAAACATAAATAAAAGCAACTATTATACCTTATACTAAAACTAAATTTATTTTACGTAATATTAGGAACTAAAGTAACACTGGAAAGGAAACATCCCTTTTTTTAGTTGACTGCTGTAAATTGTTAGTTTGGGAAATTAAATTTAAAACAAATAATTCAATTTAGTTAGATTTATGTGCTATTAATGGTCAAGGTTTGAAAAGGTGACTTGAAGTTGAGACAGCTAAACAAAACAATATTAAGCTACTTTATTAACAAACAAAAAAAAACCAAACAGCAAACATCTTAAGCTGGACAGGAAAAACAGTCACATTTAAAACAAAACTTCTACTGTATTAATGACTGATATTAATGTCCCTCTAAGATGTACAGCCTTTAATACAAAGCATGCTTGTCATCCAGAAACCATTATGGTGATATAACTTACACTTTATCTGTACTTCTGATACACTGTCTGTCCACGAGGATTTCGCCCTTACGACAGTCCGTGTTTCGACGTGATTTTAATGATTTTGTGAATTACGTAATATCTCTAGAACGAAGGATGCGTCTTACTCAGGCAAAGTTTACCAAAAGCAGATTTATGTAGAAGCTCGTTTGGGATTGATATTTTTCGACGTTTTAATATTTTTTACTTCCTATACCTTTGATCTCGAGAATATGTCATGACAGTAATTTTATGTTCAAAAATACGTGTATCTGAAATCGGAAGTATATATTGTGTCTTAACTAAACCTCACAGGACGAACATTGTGTAACATCAATATCTCTATTTATTTTTTGCTTTAGTTTATTTAGAAAACGACAAAACCAGAGAAAAAGCAGTATGCCTTGGGAAAAAATGAAAATGGACAATATACAGAAATTTGACGAAATTCAGCAAGGCCAGGAGTATGATTATATTGACAATATCAATGTTAGATCTTATAACGATGCATCATTTGATTCATTTCGTCACGTGGAAAATTGCGATGAAAGTTCTAGTCGAAATGAAAGATATGTCAAAGATCCAACTCAAGAAAAAAATGAAAGATATGTTGATGACCAAAATCAAGAAAGTAGTTATTATCATAGTATGGCTGAAAATTCTTCACAGAAAACATCAAGCAAAACATACGATTACATCGAAACTGGCACAACTGAAAACACAGAACTATATCAACAGATGAGTTCACCTACATTCGATTTCGCGCACTATACGAACAAAGAAAAAATAAAAGAAGCCTCTTCAGAAAAGGATTTTGAAGAAAAGTACAATAATTACAAAGCTGTAGACGCCACGTTAAAGGTCGAAACAGAAGATAAATTAGAGGCCAGCGATAAGGCTAATAATGAATACTTACTGAATAATGGTAGTATGGTTGACGACGAAAACCAATATATTCTGCCTTCAAATAAAACTAATTGCACTCAACAGGACAATTTAGATTTAGCACTAGAAACAGAAGAAATAACCGAGCTACAGTATCAGAATGTTCTAACAATAAGCCAATTTTGAAAGTAGTTAAGATAAAGATGCGGCAAGAATTTTGATTAAAGCTTTACAGAAGTCTCACATAATGCCATGTGGTAATCTAGCAGAAAGCAGGTCAAGAAAGAGGAAGATTAAAATGTGCACAATAATAAAGAGTATATGTAATCATGTCTGGTTCCTAGCAATGAACACTGCCCTTTCCTAGATCTTGATATCTATATCTTTAACGGGCCGTTTGCAGATGGTGACGTTCCCTTGTCACCATCTTATAGTGTTTATATATCTCAACTTGTTCGATTCGCCCGTGTATGTAACAACGTATTTGATTTTAACGAAAGAAATCTCTGTATTACTGAAAAATTATTACACCAGGGTTTTCAATATCACAAGCTTGTCAAAACATTTACTAAATTTTATCATCGGTACAAGGACATCATTCGTAAATATAAATCAACGTGCAGACATCTTATACGTTCAGGTATTTCACATCCCATCTTTTATGGTAATATTCTATATAAAGCAGAAAAATGTCGTCATTCACCGCAAAAGATAACCAAACCTTTAAACAGACTTATTCAGAAGGGATACTGTTGTCAGGTCATTAAAATGGCATATATGTATATTTTATGATGGTATGACAGTAAATCCCTAACGGGAGGGATTATACTTGATTTTCATATGATGAAGACATACTCTTTCAATCAGTTTAATTGAGGTCAGGAGCTGGCATGTCAGCAACTGCTAGTAGTCCTTTGTTAATTTATGTTGATCATTGTCATTTTGCTTAGTTTCTTCTGTTACCTATTCTAACATCGGACTCGGACTTCTTTTGAACTGAGTTTTACTGTGCGTATTGCTGCGTGTTTGTTTATTCTTCATTGACTAGAGGTATAGGGGGAGGGTTGAGACCTCATAAAACATGTTTAACCCCGCTGCATTTTTGCTCTTGTCCCAAGTAAAGAACCTCTGGCCTTTGTAAGTTTTGTGTGTTTTTATTTTTGTTTTTTTTTTATTTTGGTTCATTTATATGTTTCGCAGTTTAGTGTGACGTCCATTTTCTCTGAACCAGTATACAATTTTTGTTTTGGGGCCTCCGGGTGCGGGATTTTCTCGCCGTGTTGAAGACCCATTGGTGGCCTTGAGCTGTATTCTGCTCTTTGGTCGAGTTGTTGTCTCTTTGACACATTGCCCGTTTCCATTCTCAATTTTAATAACTATAAACATCATTATTTCATGATTCATTATACATTTCTCTTGAAGAAAATAAGTATAGACGTTTTGCATATACCCTATTGTCTTCTTTGTGTACTGGGAATGTCAGAAATTTCTATGCAACCCTAAATTTTCAAGTGTAGGTAAGGAGTTCGAATCATGAACTAAAACACCAGCTATATATAAAAACAAGAAGATATAGTATGACTGCCACTCAACAGAGACAAAATGACGTAGACGTTACCAACTGTAGGTCACCGTACGACCCTCAACAACGAACAAAACCAATGCCGCATAGCAAGCTATAAAAAGCTCCGACATGACAGAATGTAAATTATCTATATTATTTTTGCTGTGCATGTACTGATTTTGTGTTATGGATGAATACCCCATATCCTTTGTTTTTCTATTATAAAATTCATTTGAAAATCAGATCGATACAAAGCATAAAACATCAACAAACAAGTAAACTGAAAGACAAAAGGGACTGATCTGAACATACTCGCAGTTAATGAAAGCTGGTTAATTAGCCCAAAATGTAGCATTATCTAACTCACTCTGTAATATATGTTTATGTGGTTTATTAATTTCGATAAACATTGGTTGCTATTTTTTATATAGAAATATATCTATAAAGGCAATAGTAGTATACCGATGTGCAATAGTCATAAATCGATTAAGCAAAATCAAATCCTGGTCACAAACTAAAACCGAGGGAAACACATCAACCATAAGAGGAAAACAACGGAACAACAGAAACACTGAACTGCTACAAAAACAATTCAGATATACAATTTGGTATATACATGTATTTTATAATAAAATATTTCGGTACAAATTTAAGATTAGATAAATAAAATAAAATATATTCCTTGTATAAATGAATGAAAATTAAGTTGAAGATATTTCATACCACATATGTTTATATATAAATTAATTGAAGGCTTATAATTGGCAATTGTGATACATATAGGGAGTTGCTACATACAAGGAAGCTATTCCATGTCAGTGGTGAAGTTACAAATATCCCCTCGAAAATTTTACGGACGCCATCACGAGTTGGTTGCCCATAATGGAATATCTGCTTTATAGATGCATATAGATCATATATACGGTCAGGTAGCAAACCGCTGTTAAGAATTTGCTTTCGCTGACTATGTACATGTCTAATACACACTAGTGGAAAAAAAATATCTTCAGAATTTTGCTATAAGCTGGCGCATGTTGCGACAAACAAGCGTCGCATAACCAATGGAAGTAACTTTATTCTTATAACATGTTTCATCAAGTCTTGTGTTAAAATCATAAGTGTATTAAAATTTCAAACAAAAAATAATCGTTAGATACAGAAGAAAATTTTTTTTGTCATTTTGCCAAGTTAGTTCTTGTTTACAGTTGTTCTGCAAACATGGCAAACTAAGGTGCACAAAACAGAGGAGATTTATAAAATTTGATAAAGAATACCGAATTTTCAAATACTTTCACAAAAAATGGTCTATAAGAAACTTAATTGACATAGACCACAAATAAATATTATAGGTAGATATACCATTATCATGGTTATGTATACTAAACTCACTATTGCCTCATTAGGATAACTTGAAGTAACATAAACTCATCATAGTTACCAGGTTTAAAATTTTGAACGCCAGATGCGCGTTTCGTCTACAAAAGACTCATCGGTGACGCTCGAATAAAGAAAAGTTCAAAAAGGCCAAATAAAGTACGAAGTTGAAGAGCATTGCCGACCCAAATATTAAACATAAATAATTCAGAGGAAATGTTTCTAGAAGTATCAAAAAGTGTACTTATGGTTCATCTAAAAATGTCTTAGAAGTAATAATGTTAAATGACATCAAGGTTTAAGAAAATTATGTAAGATGAATCGGAGTGCTTAAACCTTGAATGAATACAAGAGGCACTACTTCTCAGTGCACTATGATTAATATTACCCGTGTGACGTATATAGACATGTTATCTTTTCCTAAGATATACTTCATGGTCATATGATACAAGTAGGCAAACTTATTAAAGAATACATACAGTATATAACGATTTTTTTTATCTATTATTACATAAAATAGTCACAATGAACTTAGATATAAATAGTATTTTCCACCTGTTACTGTTTATTACTTCCCTGTTGGATTTAAAGTGCACAAGTAAGTGTTTATCGGTTTTTCTTTTATTTCAATGACGTTCTTCAGTGAACTTCCTTACTTATACTAAATGTTCTTTGTATAACTTGTGTATCCATATGGTTAAACATACTATAATATATTTGATCCTGATAATCATGGCAACTATCCATCAATGGATATGTTTGGTACCTTCCGCCCCTCTTTTATGTTATTTTTAAATGAAAGTTATTCGTGTATTTGTGTGTATGTGTGTGTATTATTCAGAAGGATAAAATTGATAAAGTTCATTAATGATAGATTTATAACATTTGTATACAATATGAGTCATGTCGGAAAACAGACTGCCTATAAAATGAAACTTGAATTTATTACACAACTTTGCCATCACATTATAAATACAAGTCAGATAAAAAAACACAATCTGACAATATTCAATTGACCAATGAAGTTTAATCATTGTCTCTTTAGTGTTCTGATTGTAAACTAGTCTTTATGATAGTCTTTTACATTCTTAAACCATGTAAATAAAGAAATTCTATTCTCACTTTTGAAATAGTTCAAATCTAACTCTGTAACGTTAGAAGTATTAGATGAGATGGGCAATCAGAAAATCGTTCGAGAAAGTTCTGGCGTATGCTAGCCTTTTACGGTGACTTGTTGGGGTCATCGGACGTCAGAGAATGTTGTAGTCCATATAGAAAACATGGAAATTACCGACACAGACTTGGGCCATCAGACGTCGTTACAATATCGGACAACCAGAATACTGTGAAGTGTTAAACATATGTGAAACTCATAAAACGATGATGATTGATTTCATTACATCGGTTTTAATGTCTCACCAATACACTTGTAAATCGCGATAGAACATTTTAATAAATTTTTATCATTTTGTGTGAACTATAGTATTATTTAAAAAAAAAAGAGGAAAAGTCCAAACACCATAGATTAAATTGTTGTTTAAAACTGTTCAGCTTTTGTATAAATAAAAGAAAAATATAGTACAAAGTAGATAAACGAAAAAAAGGACTTAGTTATACTTAAAAAAAATATTTACCAAATAAATACAGATACCTTTCAAAATTGAGCTAAACGAACTTTAGTTTGCTGTGTCCGGTAAAGATATGATTTTTATACTATGGCAAAATATAGTTCAGATCATGCAATATCACATATTTAACAAAGTTGATTTCGAGCATAAAGGAATTGAAAGCTGAGAACTTACACGAATCGTTCTGATACACTCCAAAGCAGGTTTGGAAAATAAATCGAAAATCTATAAAACATTTTGGAATGATTGATGTGTGACAAGTGATAGTGTCCATTTACTTTAAGTGTGAAAATATTGAAACTTTTAGATTCATTTATTTCATTTAATTATGAATGGGGTGTAAGTTAGTTACTCGGGATACGGTGTGTCTGGATAAGAAACCCCTCTGGCCTCCGGCCGACGGGGTTTCTTATCCAGACACACCTATCCCTCGGTGTATAACTATTACTTATCTTTCAGATAATTCTTCTGTTTTCTTTCATGTCACTCATTTTAATCTCAAAAGACTTTTACTACATGTATGTGCTAATTACTTCGTTTTTGAAATTACGCACCTTATAATCCGTTTGTCATTGTCTATTGTCTAAATACTTTAACGATAAGTTTGTTATCTTAACACTTACAGAGCTTTTGTATTTTGTTGGTTTATAGCTAACGATGTAATATTACATGTAGTAGATAGTTCAATTAAGATTTAGTGTGACCTTTAGTTGGGAACCCGACAGACTAAGGCACGGACGTCGAATTTATAGTTATACGGAAACCCGTTAGTGAACAAAACATTTATACTGGATTTTGCCGTGTATTTACATGTATGATTTATACTGTGTTTAACAATACTTGTAGTTGTATTTGAACTTGAATTAATATAACATTTGGTATCCGAACTAATGTTTTATTTACTTATACTGTGAGCTACTCCCCAGAATATTTGTTATAGCAGGGTCGTCCATAACCCATGTTATAAATGTATAAAATTAAAAACCAGGTCTAATTTATTTCTGTAAATTCGAAATCGAATATAGAGTAAAAGTTACATTTAAACAAAAGAGTGAAACAACAAATTAGATAACTATTTATGTGTTTATCTGCCATAGAATTTTGGAAATAGTTTCAAAATTCGTCTTCTATTTTGATCATACAATAGTTGGTCGTATGACTTTCACCTCCTCTATTTATCTTATCATACAGCAGTTTAATTTAATTTCAGTCTTTCCCCTCGTTTATATGCTTACACTGATGATGATTCCAGGAAAACGTTTTAAAACTTGGATTGCTGATTCATTGTCGTAAACCCGTGTCTCTTTTCATATCAGTGTATTTCATTTTTTTTAATGATTTGCTCTCTTTCTTTTTTTAATCGTTTTTGGCACATGCAATATTTCAGTTCAAAGAACTCCATGAATTGGTTTTTTCTTTATTATGCATGTGCACATATGTATGGCGTTAAGTTGTTAAAAATAGTTTTCACTTTAAAAAAAAATCTTTTTTGGTACATGCGATACTTCAGTTCTAAAAACTTTCGAAATCTGACTTGCTTTATAGTGCATGTCTACATATGTATGGTTTCAATTGCTATAAATAAAGTTGTATTGATTTCCACATGGTTATAATTGTATATATATATAAGTATTGCTGAAGTTTATTTGCTCGAATATTTATAAAATTGGGAAAATCCCTTTGAAATCTGTCAATCTTGTGTCCGATTCCTTTCAGTTTAGCAATATTCCTTTACATAATTTTATCGATAACTATCCTCTGAAAATTTATTATTGTTGTTTAAAATGTTTAAAATAGTAATAGATTAAGGCGACAGAAGTTTACTGATGTTCAAATCTCGTAAATCGATTAGGAAGAGACAAATTAAGATAACAAATAAAAGCTGAGGAAATCACATGAACTTCAAAAGGAGCATGCCCGTGTGCGTCTACTGAGTAAGCATCTCCTGCTATGTATGCATCACCCGCCATGCGAATTTGCCCTCAGTCAACATGTCACAATCAGTAAAATTACAACTGATAATAGAAAAGAATTCTAAACCAATTTTATCAATTATTAAACCTGCAATTCAGGATTTTTTTATCTGCATGCAGTTACTTATCTTTGAACTACTTTTTTGTATAGGTCCTTTTAGAAACAGATAGACATATGTCATTAATCCGTTTCATTCTGTAAGTATGCCTAATAATTTTGATACTGTTGATTACGTACAATATTCACCGGCTTGTACTTTATATGGGATACCACCAGTAAGAAAGTTAACTGATAGAAATGCTGAAATTAAGTTATTTTTAAAACGATTCCAATCTGGCTGTTCTAGATATACTGTTATCATGCAGGTACTCATAACACCTAAAGTTTATGAAATGTGATCTTAAAGCCGTTGGGCCATTAAATCCAAAACCTACACAAAAGTTAAAAAGAATGTATTCAGAAACGAATCATTGAAGAAAAAAATGTCATACCAACAAATAATTTTAATTAAGTTTAATTCAGTTTCATATAACAGTTGTCTCACTTAACAATCACCCAACATCTCCTTATTTCTATAAATAAAAAAGCAAAACTGTTCAGATTAACTATTTCATTGGCAAGTGCAACCTTAGCTTCCCAAATTTTGAGTATGTCTATCAGAAGTCAGGAACCTGTTATGCAGTAGTTGTTTGTTGGTTGCTGTCTGCCATATTTGTTTTCCGTTAATTGTTTTTAGCATAAATCAGGCTGTTGTTTTTCACTATTTAATAGTTTCACATTTAGTCAAAACGGTACCTTCGACACCTTACTATATGGTATGTTTTTGTTCACTGTTGAAGGCCGTACAGTGACATATAGTTGTTTACATGTTCATTCTTTGATCTCAGGTGGATAGATGTCTCATTAGAAGTCATTATATCTATTATAAGTTAATGTATCATGTAATCCTTATTTCAAATCATGTGATTACTTAAAAGTTAGCCTACTGATCGGATGATACCGAAGAAATCGTTTTTCCTGCTAGTTCTTTCGTTAGCCCTTAACAAAATTTACATATGACTTTTTATTATGAAATATTCTTTGAAAAAGCTGTGATGTTTTTATAAAACTTTATCAGCTTCGTCAAAATTTTCAGTATCCCTACTGATATTTTCTAAAATGATTGGAACTATTTAGAGTTATGGGTTGAACACTAAACTATTTTATTGGTTGAATATAAATTATATGACGGCTTTACGCTAAATCAGTTGAATGTGTACTGATTGATATATCATTCTGGAGGAAATTGTGTATTTATAAGTTTCCAATGGCTTTGAACTAACTTTGGGTAACTACAATAACACTTATATCATTATTTAATGTCTTTTGTCTTTTGGATAGTTATGTTTGTATTTTTTTCCGATCTGATGAATCAATCCTTTTCCAACTGAATTTTACAGTTCATTTGTAGGTTGTAATGTTACACCACTGTCTCAATTCAGTGGGGTTCAGTTGAGCACTCAAACGTATATTTAATCTTATGTAACTGTCTGTATGTGCCTGTGCCGATTCAGGAGCCTGTAATCTGGCCGCTGGTTTTCATGAATTTTTTTTCTATCGTATATAAATGCTTTGTATATATTTTACTTTACTGTACTTGTTTTATAATTGTTGAAGGCCGTATGATGACCTATTTCTGATTACATGCTCGTCCTTTTTTCTCATCTTAATAGCTGTTTCATTGGCAATCATAACGCTTAGTTCTCTTATTTTTATTTTGTAAAGTTTTGTTTCAAAACACCGTCAATCCCATGTGAAACCTGATAACATGTATATGCAACTGTCAATACAAACACATCATCGTTCCTATATCACTATGACGCGTATCGAGATAACTTGTAAAAGACATACACTGACCGACTGAAATATGCAAGCGTTTCAAAAATGTTTACTCTGGTATTTCAATTGGCGTATTAATGGCTACTTAATTGCAAAACATAGTTCCATAAATTTTCCGATTTTTTTTATGAAATTTTAAACATTACGCCGAAAGAAAACAATGATTTAAAAGACAAATGAATGCAAAAAATATCTTTATAATAATTGATACAAACTTCAACACAGGATAGACAGTGAATAAACAGAATTAATGAACCATATAAAATTACCAAATTGCAACGAGAATACGACTCGTACATGCACATGTTGACGTATTTTTACAACTTAACACTACATGAACATTCGTTTAATGAAGTAAAAATAGATACATGTACCCTGTGATTTCAATAAACGGGGACAATTTTAGGCATAAGAGGCACATTTAGAAAAACAATGCCACCACCGCCTGAGACAAGACTATTTGGAAATCCGAAACCCATCACAAAATCTGAAACGCTGAAATAACAGGTATAAATCGAAAGGTGCAGCTAAACAGTGTTAAAATACCATTGAGGGATTGTGCTGCACCAGATACGCATTTCGATAATCAATGTCTCTTCAGTTATGCTCGATGCACAAATATTGAAAGTTGAAAATCTAATATAAACGTAAAAGAGCTGATCAAAAGGACCAAAAGTAAATCAAACTCGGCAAGGAATTGAATATATGCACCAGGGCAATGAATTCCTTTATATTTTGACGTTTTTCGTTTTTTGCCAATGCATTGTTGATTTGTTTTTAACTTTTGTACTTGAATATCCCTTTGGTTTCTTTCGTCTCTCTTTTTATTCTCATTGAGAGGTTAAGCTAGCTATAAAACCAGGTTTAATCCACCATTTTCTACATAAGGAAATGCCTGTACCAAGTCAGGAATATGACAGTTGTTTTCCATTCGTTTGATGTGTTTGAGCTTTTGAAAATGCCATTTGATACAGAAATTTCTGTTTTGAATTTTCCTTGGCGTTCGGTATTTTTGTTATTTTACTTTTTACAAGGATTATAAAATTTAAACCAAACAATATCCATATTGTCATGCCAGTATCGAAGTACTGGCTATTGGGCTGATGATACACTTGGGACTAAAGAATTTAAACTCTGAGGAATATTTTCTTGACAATAAATAGTTAATTCATTGAAGGGCAAAGCTCCTCATAGATGAGGTTGCTGTTTCTGTTTAGGTTGCTTTTGTCTTAATACTCTCAAAAGTTTAGTATTTTTCAATCTTTAAACCTTTGGTTACGATGGTAACAGAATCATATGTTGTGCACACTGATATGGGTAGCTTAAGTTTTTATTTCCATGAAAAATATAAAAACAAATATGCTGTAATTTGGTAAAACAAAATAAGAGAAAGTAGTATCGTCATGATGGGTAATTAGTCAGCACTTCGGTGTTGACATGAAATATCATTGATATGGTCATATTTATACATTAACTGTTTTCAAAACTCTGTATTGTTCGAAATACATTTTGTACACCAGGAAAAGATTACCTTAGCTGCATTTGGCAAAAGTTTTGGAATTTCAAGTACTCAATGCTTTTCAACATCGTTCATTTTTTACCTTTTAACTTTTTTTATTCGGGCGTCCCTGGTGCGTCTTTTGTAGACGAAACGCGCGTCTGACGTACAAAATTATAGCTTGGTATCTATGATGAGGTTTTTTAATAACAGAAATTGTGATTTGCAGGACAGCATTTTGGAAATTTGCCATCAAAACAATCAATTAAAATGGTAAAAAGATACCTAGGGGTAATCGCAAACCATAAGGCGAAGAAAAAAAGAAAACAAAATGGCAAAAACATACATGAAAAAACATACAACACATTACACAGAAAATTAAACATAGAGCAAATAAAACCCTAACAGAAACAAGGGATGAACTCATGTGCTCTTGAAAGCAAGAAAATTCTTCTCCACATGTAGCATATATGTTGTGTTGCTAATGACAAGGAAACTCTGGTGATAGCAATAGATAATGTCATAAACGAAGAAAGAAGACGTGATTGTGGCTACGACAATTGCAAGTAGTAAAGTTGAAATCGACTATAGCTGGAAAAATCTCAGAACATTATCAAGAAACAACTAATATAAAAGATAAGGTGTGTTCAAATAACATTAATAACAAACGCTAGGTAGCATACACTTACATATGAATTGGATTTGACATCAAATGCTTCGAGAGTAGAAGTATACCCTGTGTTCACATACACATACCCAGTCAGAACTGTATTTGTAGAATCCAGTTATTATCATAATTCAATTACAAAAATTGAAACGTTAAGTAAACTTGCTTTTTTCTACTTTTGTTATGGCAGTTAACTATAAGACTTCCATGGATAATAATGGTACATGTAGTTATATGTTTTGGATTTGCCAAAAATGAATAAACCTAAATTCGCCTAGAAATTAGAGAGAACGAACCATGTATGTATGTTACTGAAGAATCAGAATGCTATACGCATGGGAAACATTATACTGCATGTTATTTACATCAAAGTAGTGTTTTTATAGTATGGGAAGACGAAAAACGTACAATGTTGCTGAATGTTCGAATTATGAAAGACAAATAAATCCAGAAGAAGACATGGAATATACATACTGGTGTTGTTTTTCACGGTTTGTATAACTGTTCAAAGTTTAGCACATAATTGTTTTATTATAGATATGTTGTTTTTTTTACTACATTAACGTTCTTCAAAACATTTCAAAGCCAAACGTTTGGTACACTAGAGAGGGATAAGAAAATGAAATTCTGCAAAATCAAAAGTAATGAAAAAATGCTGAAACATGTGCAGCACAAATAACAATTACTTAAGAAAAGAGGCGAAAGATACCAAAGACGATAACAAACTGACAATGCCATGGCAAAAAATGAAAAACGACGAAAAGATTAACAACACTACACAAAACACAACATAGAAAACAAACAACTGAGTAACACGAACCCTATCAAAAAGCGGAGGTGATCTCGGATGCTCCAGAAGGGTAAGCAGATTAAGCTCCATATGTGGCACCCGTCGTGTTACTCTTGTAAGAACAAACCCCGCGATATTGTAAGACTAATTCGTTAGATCAAATTCGATGACAAGAGAACGGGATTTTAAAAGTGATTTTAAAGATGATGTAAACATGACGAACAAAACCTCATTTGTATGCAATTGAGCTTTACTGATTAAAAATAATATTCAATATCAATTTTTAATTAACGTATACTAGAATGTGCAACATAATTCACCATTTCTAAACATTTTGTGGTTAGGCGTTTCTGTGAATGGGCATAACAAAACTTCTGTCTGATGCCTCGATCAGCATTTGGATTTGACCAATTCGGGTAAATCAACACTAACACTCATAATTATTGTTTATGAGCTTACTTTACAAAAAGAATGAACCTTGAACAACCGAAAAACAAAACGGAAATTCTACTAAGGAGGTACCCTAAATACTTTGAAATCATTCTCTAGAATATGAGTATTTTTCATGAATCACACTATTTTTTTCAGTAAAAAGAAAAAAAGAGCCGATTGCAACAACGTAACAGCGACTTCGATTTGGAGGTAAATCATTATCAATACATTTATGTATGCCTTTTGTTTATGTCTCTCTGCTTCTATTCTTTGAAATTATTTATTAGAACCTGAAAAGAACATGTGATCGATTGGAAATATTTTAGTAACTGAGACCAAAGTGGTACAGCAAGCTTCATACTAAAGCTTAATTTAAATGTGGTTTTATTTCAAATGACACTGCGGTATTTTCTGGTTTTAAACTTGCTCATGTATTGATACTGATTAGGATATTTTGTCCTTGTCAGGTTCAAACTATAAAAATCTATTTAAAATTTGGTGTGGGTGCGTTTTTTATAAAATCAAAAATGTATTCTGCAATTCCGTTCGTGTTTGTGACCAATGTTTCCAAAAATAACAATGCTCGAAGATTAAAGTTCAAAACTTAAAATTTAAAACTTACGGGAACTTTCCCAAAAAGCCTCAACAGCAAAGCTAAAACCACCTATGAATTCAATATTGCCCGACGGAGTTGCAACCTGAGATCAACCAGGATTTTAGTTGGTTTCGTGTTGTTCAGTCTTTAGTTTTCTGTGTTGTGTTTTGTATACTGTGGATTGTCTTTTCGTCGTTTTTCGTTTTTTGTCATGGCGCTGTCAGTTTGTTATTGACTTATGAGTTTGAATATTCCCTTGATATCTTTCGCCTCTCTTTTAAATGAAGCACAAATATAATTATTTCATTAAAAATTAAAGACGGTTGACCCACACAAATTCCAGGCAATTGCTATAGGTAAGAAGAGGTACAATAATGCTTTACTTTCCGACATGTGAAAATGTAAAATTTGATTATGGCGTGTCAACCGTTGCAATTTTCCTAAAAATATGTTCATAAAAATAAAAAGGTGTGCATAAAAGTAAAGTATATGTTCATACAAAAACTCTTTATAACGTTATATGCAAACAGGGGGCATCATCTGTGTCCCATGAACACATTCTGTATTTATTTTTTAAACTATTATTAACAGATTTTAAATATCAAAATCAGTTGAAAATTTAAAAAACATTTGATATTAAACGACCATAGTTTATTTTCTCGAGCCTTTTAACATTTGTATCATTGTTATTTTGAATTTATTTTTCACAACATTTAGACTTTTTTTAGCGAGACATTAAAAGGTCAAACAAGAGATCAAAGAACAGACAAACAAGTTCATCATGAAGATACGCAAGTGACAATAGATAGGTTAGAACCTTTATTGATTAGGACTAATTGTGTTGTAACTTGGCGCATGTTTGTGGGTTATGTTTTTACGTCATAAAAATTCTAAATCAAATATACCGAATTTGTTCAGTTCGAACTCTTTTCTAAATGACCTTCCTTCGGAACGACCAGCCGGAGCGTTAGGTAAGCCATAGAGGTACAATCCGTTAGTAGATGTAACCAAATGTATTTTCACAATTTCAGCCTTGTCAGAGAAGCTTAGAGTCAATCATTTATTAACTAAGAATTTATTAATTATATGGCATAGCCAATACTAGGTGGCAATTATGTGTTCATAGAACACTAGTTTCACGAATTCAGTTTTATTCTTGATACAACTTATAAAATACTACTTTTTTTCAGTTTGAAAAGAGAGTTAGAAGATTGTAAAAAAGATCTTATACAGTGTCATCAAGAAAAGAACGAGCTTGTATTACGGTGAGTTTCTTCCTGCTAAGTTTGAGATTATATCTAACCTTGTCGTATAGTCTGCATTGTATAGGTCTACTCCATTTCTAAAACCTGGAATACTGGCACTGTTAAGAATGTATTAACGCCCTAGAGTATACTAACATGGCTCAATGCTCTTGAACTTCGTATTTTATTTGGCCTTTTTAGCATTTTTCATTCGAGCTTCACGGATCAGGCTTTTTTAGATGAAACGCGCGTCCGGTGTACAAAATCTTATTCCTAGTATCTATGATGAGTGTACTATGGACCATCTACTACTATAAAAGCTATAATTTTTGAATTATTCTTCAAAAATTACCCTTATGATTCGAACATTTAAAAACGAACAGTCCAAGATCCTATATAAGATGACAAACTTAAACATACAAGCATTTGTAGAAAAAGCAAGAGCAACGTTTCCTTTAAGATTCTAGTAGCAATTATATATAATTCAAATAAGAATATAATATCAAAACATATTTCAGATTGAGTGAATTGATGGGGAAGCAGTTACAAGAGAACAATCCCCAAATTACTAATCTAAATGATCCAAACAGACCACAGAAGCTAGCTGAAATGCTTGGTGATATATATGACAACGAATGGCTAGATGCTTTTACTGGTCTGCAGTCAAAAGATGAGAAACTAGATGAACAAAGCGCAGTTGATATCCTTTTAAATCTCTTGAAGGTACTACTAACTTACCAAGACCACGGAATAAATGAAACTTGTCCTTTCGAGGAATCCGTATATATTTAATTCAGTTTTATATTTTATTGTATTTATTTTAGCGCAAAATAAATGCCTGGGATGAAAGCTCGAAACATTCTACAATAATGGTAAATTGTATTCATGTGCATTACATGTAACTAGTGAAAAATAAACCAGACTGTAGAATAAAACCCATCTTCGCAATCAAAGGGGGTACGATCCGGTCCTCTCCAATCGTCTCGTGGAGTGAAGGGAAGGTGATAGGATTGTAACACTTGGCTAGCGAAAATTTGTCTTAATGTACCAAATGAATTACCAAATGAATCAAAAATTATTTAATCCAATGAATATCCAGGAGAGAAACGAACATTTTTTTATATCAGCTACAAGCATCAGCTGTGGAAGAAGACATAACTTGATGAGGGACTTCAGACACTAACAAAAGATCTTTAAGTCACAATTTATTTTCAACATTATTCTCAAATACTAGTAGTTGATTGCACAAATGATATTGACTTATTACTCAAACTTTCAAACTATTGGATGCAAAATAATAATGATTTAAACATTTCAGGTTATATATGAAGAAACATTAGACCAGGTTGGTAAATTCTCTAGTCACATTCAGGAATGGTTTGTCTGCAACCAGGTATGTTTAACAAGTGATTTTTGTGCTCAGCCGTTCTATTATGATTTATTACCTTGTATATGCAAATTAATAAACAATGAAATGAAGATAACATTATGTACATGGTTTTACATTATTTACATTTTACGGTTTCTAATGTGCATGAAAATGTAGATTTTGAACATGAATTTTGAAAAATGTTTGTTTTTTGTCCCTTTATTGTTAATTAGAAAAAAAAATTGTGAACCCTAACTTTACACTATAGACTAAGTTTAAACTATTTGTTTTAGTACTTTTATTGTTAATTGGAAAAATAAATTGTGAACCCTAACTTTACACTATAGACTAAGTTTAAACAGTTTGTTTTAGTCCTTTTATTGTTAATTGGAAAAATAAATTGTGAACCCTAACTTTACACTATAGACTAAGTTTAAACAGTTTGTTTTAGTCCTTTTATTGTTAATTCGAAAAATAAATTATGAACCCTAACTTTTCACTGTAGACTAAGTTTAAACTGTTTGTTTTAGTCCTTTTATTGTTAATTGGAAAAATAAATTGTGAACCCTAACTTTACACTATAGACTAAGTTTAAACAGTTTGTTTTAGTCCTTTTATTGTTAATTGGAAAAATAAATTGTGAACCCTAACTTTACACTATAGACTAAGTTTAAACAGTTTGTTTTAGTCCTTTTATTGTTAATTCGAAAAATAAATTATGAACCCTAACTTTTCACTGTAGACTAAGTTTAAACTGTTTGTTTTAGTCCTTTTATTGTTAATTGGAAAAATAAATTGTGAACCCTAACTTTACACTATAGACTAAGTTTAAACAGTTTGTTTTAGTCCTTTTATTGTTAATTGGAAAAATAAATTGTGAACCCTAACTTTACACTATAGACTAAGTTTAAACAGTTTGTTTTAGTCCTTTTATTGTTAATTGGAAAAATAAATTGTGAACCCTAACTTTACACTATAGACTAAGTTTAAACAGTTTGTTTTAGTCCTTTTATTGTTAATTCGAAAAATAAATTATGAACCCTAACTTTTCACTGTAGACTAAGTTTAAACTGTTTGTTTTAGTCCTTTTATTGTTAATTGGAAAAATGAATTGTGAGCCCTAACTTTACACTATAGACTAAGTTTAAACAGTTTGTTTTAGTCATTTTATTGTTAATTGGAAAAATAATTGTGAACCCTTCCTTTACACCATAGACAAAGTTTAAACTTGAATAAAACTCTAATCGTGAAATAAGACTTCTTAGTGATTGCAATGATATTGCAGTTAATGTAAAATCGTATCTTGATCAAGAACTGATGGGATTTAAGCATTTGAATGCTTAATTATTGTACTATTTTTCTTGCGTTACTTTTGTAGTTTCTTTGTACTTTCAGCAATGTCCTCGTAGTCGTATTTTAGAGTTTTTGGTTTCGATATCTTCTTGTGTCATTCATCATTTGCAAAGAGAAATCGAAAAGGTAAATTAATCCTTAGTTAATTGGCTAAAAATTAAAAAAACAAGTTGTTTAATGCCCATTAAAAAAATATCACGGTTCAATTATTTTTTTATTAGTAAAACTGTCAGAGTAGAAATAAACGACCGTCGTGTGAAAAGTAAGTCATTATTTGCTCCAGACGTTTCATTTATCATCGACAAAAAGTCGTATTTTACAAAAAATGCAAACAGCACTATATAAAGGTTAAGGGTCCGAAGCGCTTTTCTGGATTTACCTACATCAGTAACGCTCAAAGGCGAATGTTTGGATGCAATGAATAAAGTTAAAAAATACCAACACATTCTACTATGAAATTTCCAAATTAGATAGAATATAGTTTCTCATTTTCTAGGTGCTTTCTGCAAAATCAAAAGACAGTAGTATATCAATATGTACTAACTACATACAGCGGTGTATTGAAATGTGTTTTTACATGAGGATAAAGTCACCAGAAATGTATTTGCAATTTGACAGTGCGATAAACAACATAGACAAGACTTACTTCAAACCTTACACTAAAGATGGCGATATATTAGATTTTGTCGTTTGGCCAGCACTGTTCTTATTCAAAGAAGGTCCATTAATGAACAGAGGAGTTGTTCAGTGCAAGTAATTATTGTGTCGATATTGTTTTTGGCAGGATGATAATTCGGAGTAATAATGATAAAAGGTGCAATGATAAGCAAATGATCTAGTATGTTATATATATAATGTATTTGTTAAAAAATAAATATTTAAAAAATAATAAATAAATGGAATCTCATGAAGTTTTTACTTCTTTATTTGTAATCATAACTAAAGCAAACAAGATATGAAGTACAATACAAACATTTAAAGCACATATAAATTAACACACTATGTGCACTATAACGGTAAGTAATACGAAAGTTTTGAAAAAGTATACATATGACATGATAAATAAACACTAGAGTTTCGACAATCAGACTTTTTCATATATGATATATAATATATGATCATTGTGCATGGCCGACGTCGTTGTCTGTTAAATTTGTTTTTCGTTTTCATAAATTAGTCGGTATAAGAGTTCCATATGGCATCCCCGTCATACTAAATTAACACTATAACATATAACGGTTTATTCACGGTGGGGTGCCATGTGGAGCTATTTTCGCATGAGTTTTGGTAACTGTTAAAGGTCGTAAGGTGGCCTATACTTGATTACATCATATAATACTTCCATGCTTACATCTACGTCTAAGATGTTGATACTATTATGCAACAGAAAAGTAAATATTTCTGGACACTATTATGCAACAGAAAAGTAAATATTTCTGGATAATTAATCTTACCACATTTTCTTATCTTTTATAAATTCCATTACATGGTCTCTGATAGTAAGTTAGTAAGTAAGTAAGTATACTAAATTTTATTTATTGTTGGCATATATGTACACAATAACAGAGAAAACATGAGCTCTGATGAGCTCTTTAACCGACTATCATATAAAAATCATGCAGTTTCATACAAATAATAATAAATAGAAATAAAAAAAGGCATGGAAATATAATGAAAGCATATTTTCGATTTTTGAACCTCCACAGCCAATGCTCATACGGCAAACACCTTTATGTGCATTGAATGGTGCAACCATAAATCATTGAAATATCGTAAAATACTAACAAACTAAAAAGCACAAATGAATAAATTAATTTAGCACTGGCATTTAATAGCAGCAATATATATAAAAATGCATTAAAAAAAGCAGAGCAAAAGGCCAAAAATAAACAGGAAGAAATTTCAACTATGAGGTAGCACTGGATAGAAACGGCATGAACTGCAATTACATGTTGACCCCACACCGGGAATTTATATAATTATTATAAATAGGTCAAAAGAGGTCATAGTTCTGGCCTCATAGTGAAAGGAATTTCATACTTGTGCTTCCTCAAATCTAAAAGATATTTTAACATCCTTTGAGGTTCTTGGTTTAGGTACATCAGCAGTCGGTTCGCATACCTGAAATTATATGATTTTTCTTTATAACAACTAGATCTTGAATAGATAAAGGACATTTTTTTTCTGATGAAAATAATCGAAAACAATTAAGGATTTAAACGCCGCGAATAGTCCTTCTGAACATCCAAAATATAAACTATAATACAAAGAAAAACATATCAAAATTGCTTCTTTCATTGCATGACACATTGCGTGTTCTAAGTTACTGAATTATGCATGTAGCATTCATAGTATTATGAGACTTTGGTAAAATGTTGCATACAAATTTAAATTGACTCGTTAAGCTAATCAAAATAGAAATAATAATGCATTTATCTTTTGTATTACCTGAAACAAGGTATTACTGACTGAATTCTTTCAAAATAGGTGAACAGTTGAATAGAAAGCACTTAAAATCGGCAGGACGGGAAAAAGAAGCATGCGTAGCAACAGATGAAAATAAATAATTATTACGAAAAAAGAAGCATGCGTAGCAACAGATGAAAATAAATAAGTCATTACGAAAAAGAAGCATGCGTAGCAACAGATGAAAATAAATAGTTATTACGAAAAAAGAAGCATGCGTAGCAACAGATGAAAATAAATAAGTCATTACGAAAAAGAGGCATGCGTAGCAACAGATGAAAATAAATAATCATTTCGAAAAAAGAAGCATGCGTAGCAACAGATGAAAATAATTAAGTCATTACGAAAAAGAAGCATGCGTAGCAACAGATGAAAATAAATAATCATTACGAAAAAAGAAGCATGCGTAGCAACAGATGAAAATAAATAATCATTACGGGGAAAATCATAACATTTGACGTTACGTATATCAATTCCCGTGACATGAATTGGGAAAATGTCCTTGGGTAAAATCTCTTTGATGATGATTTACACTAAGCAGAGACATATACATGATATTGAGAGACATATATACATAATATATATATTGATTGATTGATTAATAGTGGTGCTTAACGCCACTTTCAACACTATTATGCTTTTTCGTGGCGGTCAGAATTTATTGGTGGAGGAAGCCGGAGAAACCACCGACCTTCGATATGAAAACTGACAATCCTAGTCAATTGAGATTCGAGTCGAGTGCACCTGCCCGTGCGGGATTCGAACTCACAACCTCAGTGTTGACTGGCTAGCGATATAGTAGTTCGGCTACTTAGACCACTCGGCCACAAAGGCCCCGTATATATATATATATAAGTCTAGAGATTTGCACAACGATACTAATATAAGATGGTATATACGAAGATGTTGTTATTATATCGTGTTGACAAATATTTCGGCTTAACAAATAGCCTTCTCCCGTGTCAATAATTTTAACAATACTGATTATATGTATAAAAATAGCTCAGTAATACAGGTAAGTTTTGGTCTATTGATTTAATCCAAAATCCTGAACATCATAATATAAAACAAAACTCAATACTCAAATATACGTGACTGTATATTTACATCCCAAAATGAGTGAACAATAAAACTTAGTATTTTTTATTGATGCCGTTTGGATGATGTACATTTAGTTCCTTTATCCAAAAGCTTTCCCGAACCTGTCGCTGGGCATCACTCCAGTGAATGTTCTGTTCAATCACTAGGATCTTCATGCGGTTAAAGTCGTCAAGTTTGTGACCAGACTGTCTGAAATGCTGAGAAACTGGGAGAAGTGGATTCTTAGAGATATCACTCATATGGCCATAAAGACACATATCTTTATGTATATGTGTCTCTGCACCAAGGATTTGTATAGTAAGACTACTATACAAATCCTTGTCTGCACTAAGATAATTTTTTCTATGCAATAAATCAGAGAATATAGCACTAAATACACGAAGCAATCTATTCTATGATATATCAGAGACATATATAAATGTCTCTGATCTACTGTTAGATATCCACAAGACGTGTTAGTTCTCTACTTATTTTTGCATACGTTTTTATCTGTTTAGACAGAATAATTTATTTACGTTCAATTTTCTTCTACCGGGACAAAAGTACTTATTTTGTAGTTATCGGAAATATACTGGTTTACTGTTTTCTGCGTTTTTATGCGTTTATCAAAAAAGCTTCAGTTACCAGATTCACAGAATGGATCACCACCGGCACGTCAACACAAACGACGTAAGCAACAATATTTCACATTTCCAACACTTTTGTTCAAGTAAACGATATGCAAATATGCCACTTAGTATGCAGCTATCTTTGAAAACATGAATTTCGAATGATGACCGATATTTCAAAGTTCTGCGTTGTCTGATGTACTCAGAAAATTCATACTGTCAGAAGTACATGTACATATATAGTTCTCACTAAGAAGTAATCCTCGCAATGTAGAATGCTCGAGCACACTCATATTTGGTCACTATACAATCCTTTTTTCTGGACTGGCTTCCAAGGTAATCTGTGACGTTAAACCATGTAAACGGTAGCCCAAAGCCCCTATCTTAGTATCCATGATCTAGTTAAAATTACTAGTGAATGCGTACTGCCGATAGTCTGAACCGTTTAATGCATATCTGTGTGCGCTATTAATCTTTACCGTAATTGCAGAATGTCACGCCATCAATATCAATAAACTGCTACTCCCTTCCTTGTAACAATACCGTAAACCAGTTTTGAAGGTCTTCCTAATTACCAATTGTCCAATACTGTCATTACCATGTGTTTTCCAAATGTCAAATTTTGGTAATCATTGATTGGCTTTTGTTGCATTGACCAAATTTACTATATTCATAACCATAATAACAGATAATTTTTTATTTTCGAACAATTTTGAGTCTGAAGACATTAGTTCCATGTGTTTTCCAAATGTCAAATTTTGGTAATCATTGATTGGCTTTTGTTGCATTGACCAAATTTACTATATTCATAACCATAATAACAGATAATTTATAATTTTCGAACAATTTTGAGTCTGAAGACATTAGTTAGTAATAGTCCAATTGACATCTTGTGTATTTTAAACAATTGGTTATTAGGACGATTTCAATGACCAGTTATCGTTATTTTTATGAAGAAGTGGTATCAGTTAATCAGCTGTTTATAAACATGGCTTAAATGTTGAGGTGGTCGGATAGTGCAAGACCAGGAAAGGCACCAAAAAGCTGTCTCCCATGTCCGACCAAGTTACCATGGTTACAGAGGCAAAAAAGAAGTATGAAGACAAACACTCCGGGCATTCAAGAGCCATTAAACAGACAGTCGTCCCTTGCTTCTGAATTACAAAGAGAGTGATACCATGTTCTGCAGTTACTGCAAGGAGCACTGCAGGGAAAAGGTGGCAAATTTGTGACTGGTTGTAAAAATTTAGAATTGATACTATCCAGACACATGAAATAAGTGCACCACATATGAGTGCTACAGCAGTTTCTGAGAGACCCCCATCACAGAAATCACTGGATGCGAAGGCCATCCATACTTTAAAAAAACATGATTATGATAGACTAAGCATTTTGTTTTAGCAATGCACATGCTGTGGCTAAACATCATTTGAGTTTCAAGGTTTTTATTGAAGGAAAGGAGAATTTTTTCATCTAACCTGTAGAAAAAAATAATGTTTTTGATAAGTTATATACATTTCCATATACAACATGTACAAATATGTAATCTCAGAATGCAGGATTTAACGTCTAGTTTTCTAAAATTTTCTGGGGGGAGCATGATCCTCACCGGTGACACAGATTCTTTTAGGTATAGTGCACATCACTTTCAGGGTAGTTTTTTTTTTATTCCACTAGCTCTATTGGCAAGTTCTTCAAAAAGTTTTTAGTACAGACTGCCAAGTTGAGAATAGACCTGTATAGACTAATTTACACTTTTGGTATGTACATGTATACTACTAAAATAATGAGGTCCAATTTGTTAGATGGCATGACATAAAAATGACAAATTAAAGAATTCAACTTTATATATAACTAATATAGGACTGTAGATTAAAAAATCCACCATTCCATGCCCAGGCCCTTTTGTTTTCCACATAATAATGTAATTAATATTACCAATAATCAACAAGTGCCAGGTCAAATCCAATGCCGAAACCAATAGTTTATGCCACAAATAGTTTTCGGTTGTAGTAAGAAAACCATGATGGGTCATAACAGAAAGATTTTGAAAGCAGAGAAAACTTTGCACCTTATAATCAGCATGCCTATATATATGGTATATCATGTATATCAGATGACAATACAAATACTAAAAATCCAGGCTAAAAATTAGATGTACATGTAGATGTACATGTAAACTGCCAAGTTGAGAATAGACCTGTATAGACTTATCTACACTTTGGTATCTACATGTATACTACTAAAATAATGAGGTCCAATTTGTTAGATGGCATGACATAAAAACGACAAAGTAGTACTGTATTGTAAGTCAGCATGTACAAATGACGAATCAAAGAATTCAACTGTACATGTATATATAACTAATCATGCTAATACATGTAATATACATGATATAGGACAATGGCGTTGATTTGTTTTCCACATAATTAATATTACCAATAATTAACAAGTTCCGGGTTGATGGGTTCAAACAGAAAGATTTTGAAAATGTGCACCTTATAACCACTATGACTTTAAATTAGACGACAATACAGTTCTAAAAATTCCAGGCTAAAAATAATGGGTAGGTACTTTAATTTAGTCACAGGTGTGTTCTAGTTCAGCTGCATTTTGTCTCAGAATGACCCTAAATCTGTCTCCGAATAACCTTCTGACATTGTATGATGTCAAATTTTTGAATTGTGATACAATATTTTTTCTGGAACTTGTGTGGGTTTAAGCAATGGTGGACAAATTTGAATACATGTGTAAATACCTCGATTGCTATTTGAAATCTGTGACATTTGACCCGAGATTTTGTTACATTTGAACTATTGACTTCATACAACAATCCCTTTTTCATTGTTGCTTCAGACTTTTTCTCTCATGATGTCAAAATTTCTGTATGTGTTTGGAATGGGGAGAGCTACAATTGTTTGCATTGGTTGTTAGTAATTATAAATAAATGCTATATATGTAGGACTTGGAGATGCGATGGAGAAGCTGAAGTGCGATGGTCACTCTGAAGTGCAATGGTCTTCGCCGAAGTGCGATGGTCCTTTCGCTGATGGGAGATGGTCTCTAAGACACATGATGGCTATACTTAAAATCTACAGATGTTTAATTATTCCAATTATCATAAGATTTTGTTCTTTTATTAGTTGGTATAAACATGATAAACTAGTAAATTCAAATATTCAATATTTTCTCCTGTTGCAGTAAAAACTATCTTGTTCCTTGTTATCATTCACAACAGCCGTATAAATTCTCCACGTATTTTGTTCCGTTCTTACTAATCATGTAGTATTTGCATTTCAAATAACTACTACGTTTTTTCAATCATTGCAATAAGTACTGGTTTTAAAGGAAAATAAACTTTTATGTAGCGTTTATAGTGGTCAATATCTAAACGATTGTCATGATTGTATGAACTATAATAAATAATTGCTTTTTTGTCTGAAGCTATTTACAAAGTACTCTACAACGTTACAGTTAGGACTGGAAAGGCAATGACTATTTATCATGATTGTTTTAAGTTAAACAGGTTATACTCCCAATGTTTTACCTCTAAAAAAAACCTGAAAAGCTACTTCCAACAAACAATTGACTTCTACATTTACTTCATACATGTGAACATTGATTTATGTAATGATCCATCGCACTTCAGTGTTACCACCATCGGACTTCGGCGTAGCTATCAACAAGATAGCGTCACAATCCCACCATTGCACTACAGCGTGATCAAAAACACACTTCAGCATCAAACAATCGCACTTCAGAGTGACCATCCTGGTTCAGAGTACCATTGCAGTTCAGAGTCCTACATATTTATCTGACTAATTCTGTGTTATAAAAGATTATTCTTTTCAAGAAACTCCACCATGCCAAATAAGATCCTTTAAATCAGAATTATTTGAGTTAAAGCACTATGAACAGATTAAACTCATCACAATCAGTTGGGACTCAGCATTTCAAAAAGTGATGAGTCACCCTAAAAAAATCCTAGTGAGAACCCTGATTGCCAGTAATGGTGGGCAACTAGTGATTTATAAGGAGTATAAGTCAGAGTAGACTTGGTAGGCCGTATGGTTGCCTATAATTGCTTACATGCACTTCATTTGAACTTTGGATAGTTGTCTTATTTGCAATCACCACATCTCCTTATTTTCATATGTGGTGCCCTGATTACCCGAAAGCACCTTGTAATTTTTAATTTTATGTGAACTTTTACTGGTTATGCAGATATATCACATTACATTACCGGTAGTCATGTTAGTCAAGTAAGAAACATTGACCTGAAGAAGTCCATTTGTTCATGTTGTTAAGCTGAAATATTTGTCAATACGATTTTACAACTTATAAAAATAAGAAGATGTGGTATAATTGCAAATGAGGCAACTCTCCACAAGAGACCAAATGACAGAGAAATTAACAACTATAGGTCACTGTATAGCCTTCAACAATGAGTAAAACCCATACCAGATTAGTTTATTAGATCTTATATCAGTATCAATGTGCAAATCTTTAGACTTTTATTTATATATATATATATATGTTTATTTTTGATTTTATTGCCTTTTTAACAGTATACACTGGTCATGCTGGTATATGAAATTTTTAATATTTAGATACCAAAAATATATATGTATTTAAAAAAAAATGAATCCCCATTAAATTCATTTACTGAAATTCTTTGAAAATGCTTTTTTGAATGTTTTTTTTTCTTCTGGAAAACAATAAAATAAAAATATACTATGCGGCATGCCACTTTGATGACTTTATGAAACACATTCTTTCCAACCAATTATAAACATGATAAAAAATTATAAGGAAAAAAGAAGATGTCAAAACAATGCACCTTTTAAAATTTGCCTAAAAAATGAGAACTTCGGAGACCAAAATGAGAACTTGATAATGAACATGATGAATTGGGGAAATGAAATATAATTTTATTTTAATGCCACCCCACAGTAATTTTTCTCCTTTGTCATTATAATGTTTATCAATATTAAAAGGTAATCCAAAGAGAAGTTATAAAAATAGTAGACCAATATTTGAACAGAGAAATGGTCTCAAAATCAACTGTAAATTTTATGGGGCACTGAAATTGAAAAAAAGTTATAAAAATAAGAAGATATAATTCCCTTTATCTATTGATTCCAGTTGGTACAGTATATAAACATGAAAACATTTGAAAATTTTATGATTTCTGGCGATCAAGCATTATCATGCCAAATTTCCAACAATAATCAGACAAATTTCTGGAAGTAGTGAAGTAAAGATGACAGTAGTACTGTGCATGTTTAACAACGTTTAAAATCTTTCTATGTTGTGATGTTTCACTATTGTTTCAGATAAGGGTGAAGGTTTGGTACCATTAATACGTTTAAACCCGCTACAATTGTTTGCATCTGTCCTAAGTCAGGAATCTGATGTTCAGTAGTTGTCGTTTGTTAATGTGGTTCATAAGTGTTTCTCGTTTCTCGTTTTTTATATAGATTAGACCGTTGGTTTTCCAGTTTGAATGGTTTTACACTAGTAATTTTTGGGGCCCTTATAGCTTGCTGTTCGATGTGAGCCAAGGCTCTGTGTTGAAGACCGTACTTTGACCTATAATGGTTTACTTTTATAAATTTTGACTTGGATGGAGAGTTGTCTCATTGGCACTCATACCACATCTTCTTATATCTAATTAATCACTGATTCTTCCACAATGCATCCAATGTGATATATTGGACATAAGAATAGGATTTTAATTATTCAAGAATAGCCATAAGCCTGACATGACTGATAAGGGAGGATTAGAACATAATTTGTATATTGACCCTGTTGTTCAAATACAATATATTGATTTCTTTATAGTTTTGGTATTATCTTTTTACATGCTTTTTTCTTATCGTACATGTTGTATTGAAATATCTCTTCTTGACTACACTATGCCAACAGTTTATTCAGTATTTTCCATAACCATCTTTCCCATACATGTGTTTATGTATATACGTTGTACACTAAATTTTAATCAGTTTTCTAACAATTGTATATGTGTTACTTTTACCATTCAAGCTGACATTTGCGTGAGACATAACAATATATTAAGTAGTGACTAGAAGCATTAAGAAGCATGCCAGAAAGAATCAATTTTCCTCATTATGACAAAAGCCATTACCGTTTTCTTGATGATATAGAGGTATCAAGTAACCACCATATATTCTCTTAGTACATGTAGTAAGGGTTATGGTACCAAATTAAACCCCATGCCTGTAACAGTGGCTGATCTTTTTTATTTAGGTGCCTGCTGATTTTGATTTATTAAGCTGGTGATTGGCCAAAATATACTCCTTTTCAAAGGAATACTTTTTTCTGTATTTATTAGTTAATCATTCTGTTTATTACGGGTGTGGTGGGAAATTTAATCGGATTACTCCAGATTTTATAAGTTTTCATAATAAAATCTTTTAGGTTGCACTTTGTAAATACAGCTGTTTCACTATCCACGCCTATTTTGGGGAGATATATAATATTCATAGATATTTTGTTTTGTTTACCTACCATGCCTACTGGTTCCCAGATATGATTTCTATATTTCATCTCATAGAGACACAACTTGGGAACTTTACCAGTATGAATACACATGGGTAGCAGCCAAATTTAATTCTGAGGAAGTCCCAAAGTATGGGAGGGGTACTACAGAATTTTAGTATAAGTTCAAACTCTTAGGCTTAAATTAAAATATTGTTTGTTTGCAGTTTACCGACCGACCCTTGAAAATCCCCCCGACTGTGAAAATTTTATTGCTTTAAATTTTAAGAAATTATTTTTAAAACTTCTATTGCCGAGATCCGGAAATTCAGGTCCTTTCCGGAATTGATTTAAGTCTAGGTCGATTACACGTTTTAATTTTAGTTTTTCTTGCCTTCCCGTCAAGCGTTCATGTAACCGTTTAATGATAAAGCACATGGAAATGGTTTACAGGTATCCATGAAGTTATGGAGGAGTACTTTACGCTGTCGACTTCTGTCAATTTTAAGACAAATAACAAACAAAAAGTTTAATAGTAAACTGTTTATACAGATTCAGGCACATGGAATGATGTCTTTAATGATATCATTGAAGAAGATGCAGCGGATATTCACAACCGACACGATAACTCATCTTTGTCAACTTTCTGTCTCAAACAAATCGGGTACAGAATCTTTTGAGCCTGACTTTATGGAACCAATTTCAGTGGTTAAACAATTCGACAGCAGTTTGAAGTATGTCATATTTTCTATAAATCGTTGTGAAGAAGACAAAGATGAAACCACTCCTCCGTGAATTTATGGATACCTGTAAACATGCATGTACGGAGAAAGAGCTCATTAAAAATGTAAATGGATAGAGACCATGCCAAATCAATGAGAAGCAACCCAAAATACACAAAGATGTAGAGAAAATGAATGATTAGCTTGAAAAATAAATATACTCTCTCTATATTAAATCTATCTTCGATTGCAATGAGTATGCTCCTTTAGGATAAGGGGGGCTGCCCCACTTATTGCAACTATTCTCTTTCTTACAATATTAAATATACCCAAACTTTGTGGCCTGCCACTGTGTGACTGATTGAATTAAAGCAAGTTCTTAGGAGCTATGCTGCCATTTTTTTTATGCAGTCAAAACATTTCAGTACAGACCACTTACTTTAATTGGGTGCTATGGATTTCACCCCAAACTAGTAAGTTTTCTTTGGTTTTCATTTACCACATTTTTTATTAACGTGTAAAAGTCTAGAAGATATAAGAAAACCGATTTTGGAAGATTTAATTAATTCCTGTAGTGAAAAGTTGGCTATTTTAAATATGAGAGATGAACACTTTGACATTTTACAACTGATTATAGATCCATTTGCTTACTTGACAATGTTAAGAAATGAAAAAGCTTTTAAAGTGATACAGAAACTTATAGATCCAAAATGTAGACGATTATGTTACAATCTCCATTGTGAAAGGTATATAGACTTGCAATTAGATGATATAAAGAAAAAGAAGAAAAAGTAGATAATAACTTTATATAAACCCTTAAGTGACTAATGGTTGTCTACTCTTAAACAGTGATATCTTTAGATAGATATTTTAGATTTTAAAGTGTTGATGCAGTCTAAATTGACATTAAGTCCAATTTTATCGTCAAGAATGTAAATAATGTACAGTGATATTGGTGGAAGATATTTTTATTCATGTTGTTAAATACACTACTCGGAAGAGGTGTGCCTACATTGGCAGAAGTTATATAACAGATACAGATACTGATTTTTTTTATTAAAAATACATTCTTTAATACATTGTCTTATAAATCTTTAATATCTACATTTTTCTGATGAAAATACTCTACTCATGAAAACATTCTAGCCAAGAAGCATATATGTCCGTGTTGTTTTAAAATAGGTTTTTTTTTTCTTAACAAGAAACTTGGTTTGTGTAACTGCTTGTTTAAACTTTTTGGCTGATAAAATAAAATATTTTTCCTACCTACCGACCCTTCAGTCTGAAGGTACAGTCGGGAAACTGCAAACAAACATATTTTTAAGGTTGGCCTTAGTAGTTGGAAGCATGCCCTATATTTTGACCTTTGAATAAAAAGTAGTGCATATGAACTTTCCATTCTAGGATATAATTTTTATGAAACTTCATAGTAAAAGTGGCACAGTTTTAGCCGTAAAAGGAGTTCCTATGGGAAATTGCAATCTCTATATTTACAGAAGTGCAACCTTTAGCTGATTAATAATCACAAAACATATATATATGAAATAATAGTACAATGTATGATTAATTACCTTATGAAACCATACCAGCTTAATACATTGTTGATGATAATATATGTACACATGTGCAAAATGTAGCTCAACTATTTATAGTCTGGTTTTTCATTTAATAACCATTTTGAAGAACATCTTAAAATTATTTGAGACTATATATATTTTAAACTTTTATCACATGCAAACATTGTACAAAATTATACTAAACTTATCCAATAAACTTTAAAAGTGTGTGATATAAACACATCCATGTTCTGGGAGGAATTGTATGCATGTTTGCATTGTTCAGCTACAAATCTACATCAACTTGGGTCTATTCCTTCTTTCTTAATTATTTTTCAAGTTGAAATATTTGTTTGTGAATATTTTATTGTCCCTTTTAGATTGGATCCAGGATTTTGAAAAAGGCAATGTTAAGAGTGGGACTTGTATAAAGTCTATGCATTAACCAAATATGTAGCACCATAAGGGGAACCAGGGGTGGGTGGTATACTGCAATGGCCTTTACTGTCTATACATAATTTAGATTACAGATTCCTCAGATTTTTTACAGAATGCTTTGATATTTTTGGTCATGAACTTTACAATGTTTACAAATATATGATCAAAATGGTAAAAGAATTTATATTCCATCTCCATGATCTCATTGCTTAAATCTTGTTCTTGAATTTTTGTTCAGTATCTTTTTGGGGATTCTTTTGGTCATGGCTTGCTTCTGATGCTTGTAGTACAATGTAGTTAAACAGTCCCTAATGCCTGTAGTACAAGCATGTAGTTAAACCAGCCCAAATTTTAATTTTTCCGCATAATCCTTTTAAATAAATAAAGTTAATGCACTTAGTAATTTATATAACAAAATACCACAAAAAATGTGAAGAAAATACCTGTCTCTGATAATTTGGAAAATAGTTTTGAATGCATAACATATACATGATATATAGAAAGACTTTATTTTGTATTTCTACAAAAATACCAGATTAGAAAAAAATAGTCATGCTCACTACATGCTACAGAGCTAATTGTTAAATTAAATGATCTGTTTTTTAAGATACCATGTGTGCATGAAATATTTGATATTAAGCATCCATTTTGTTACTCCTTTCAGTCTATAGACCTGTCCAAGTTGTCAGAGAAGGAAAGATGGAGGTATGTACTACATATAAAGTTCATATAACAATCAGGCTTAACTACAATCAGAATGTACTTATTGCTGTTAAATTTAATCAATAGAATACAATCATAACTATAGACACAATGTTGTCCATCTGTAATTTGTGAAACTACAAGATTTTAGATTTTTTTTTAAAATTGACATGATTGAGTATACATCATTATCACAGTGGAAAATCAAACCAATAAATTCAAACAGAATAAATTTTAAAAATCTAAATTCATTGATAAAAAGAGAATGTATAAAACACACATATACTGGAATAAACAGTTCTGTAAGTTATCCAGGCTCTGGTATTGTAATATCCCTTTCTGTTGAGAGGTTTTTTTACTATGTTTACTGTCAATTTTAACTTTTCATTGAACCTTTTCTATCAATTACTAACACACAGTATATTTGTAATAATAATAATAATAATAATAATAATAATAATAAATTCTTTATTTAGAGAGGGTAAACTCAGTTAGTTACAATAAACTAATCTTCCCTGAGGCTCTCAAGTTTGGAAACTTACATTCATAAATTTAGTGTTATGCATGATTTAAAACAATCTAATTAAAATTAAATCTCCGCACTTGCTCCTCGTTGTTTATATGTCGTGCGTGACATATAAACAACGAGGAGCAAGTGCGGAGATTTAATTTTAATTAGATTGGATTTAAAAAATGGTTGACATCTTGATTAAAGCGGGTATATTTTTAATGGTCATACAATGATTTAGACTACTGTCAGAACATTTACAAGAGATACATATTTACAAATGTACATGTTTTGTAGGATAGAGCACCAGCGGTTACATGAGAAACACAGGGGCCATGAGGCCATGCATGCAGAAATGGTCCTCATTTTAATTGTAACATTAGTAGTAGCACAGATATTATTAGTACAATGGAGGCAGAGATATTTCAAATCATACCAAGTAAGTTGTGAATTAATGTAATGATAAAATTTGCAACTGGTCGCAGCTTTTCAGATTTGAATGGGCCTTTCTATTCATGCCTACATATATATGCAGAACAATCCCAATGGAATCTTAGTCGCCATCACTAATTGAAAGTATCATTACTGGTTTCAAAATATATATTTTAATATTTGTATGATGATGCATATGACATCTGGTACCTGTAATACCTAGGGTAGAATGCATGAATTACTCGGAGAAAGGTTTCAATATTAATTTAATATTCATCATACCTGAAATCATTTTGGCAACAATGAAAATGGTAAAATTAAGAAAATTAAACAAATGAAAGATACAGTAGAATCCCCTGTGTCTGTGCGGCTTGTGATATCGCACATTACCTGATTTCATCATATCCCCAATGTAACACAAATAGAATAGTTCTTGTAATTGTTTTAGTCTTCTGAATAGACATAAAAGATTAAAATTAATAAGTGCAAGCAGAAATTTATAATTGCAATCCCAATTTTAACCATATTTAGCCATTTTGCATTAAGAAATATTACATCATCAGGTAAAATTGGTTTCATTTTAAGTCAAATTTTTATCAAAATGAAATAAATTTTGTTTTGCATCCTTGGCAGTCTTTTTGGTTCAAACTGGTCTATATTTCAGAGTATAAAATCTTTCCTGTATTCAAAATTAACTATTTTTAGATTTTTAAAAGACATACACGAAATCATCGGACATTTGAAGAACTGTCAAAACAGGGGTTTCCCTAATTTTGGACACACATAACATAAATTCTTTTAGGGTGAAACCATACACAAAGAAGAAATTAAAGTGTGTCATGAATTTGTTCATACAATATTATCTGATTATTGGTTTTGTGAGATTACCAGAGTGAAGCCAAAAGTCTTAGGTGTGCGGATACACCAGACTGCCCCGTAATGAAACATGTTGTACTCTATTATCAACCAAATAACAAAACAAAATAAATTATAAACATTATTAAAAATAAAAAAAAGGAGGGTTTATACAACTTAGTTTTTTTTAAAGTGAAAGTGTTCATTTTCAAATTCTTTTAAAATATATTCATGCTATTTTTCAGAAAGCTACACTTATTGGAATGTGGGTGATACCTATAGGAATATGTATGAAATATGGCTGGACTAGATTTATTATCATCTGGTCTATATTTTCTGTTATAACAGGATACATAACATTTAGATCTACAAGGAAACCACTGCCAGGGAACACACCAAGGTACCTAGATAAATTTTTGAACCACACATTTTACCTTATTTATGGTAAAATAGTCCATATAACCTACAGGACTACTCTACTTTTGGGTAAACTATAGTTTGTTGGCAAAGTTTTGGACAATGATCAAATTAATTTTATTACAAAACACTATTTTTGAATGGAAATTGATTCTCCCTCTGAATTTCTGGTCATTCAGATCAAATGGCATAATGGAGGGGGGTAGGAGGGGTGTCATCCTGAATTCCCAAAAAAATAAAGCATTCTTTCCTGAATCCAGAAAAATAAATCTTCAATTCCTGAGTCGACAGGTGTAAATCGTGAATTCCCAAAAAAATAAAGGCCTTATACCAAATTCCTGCAAAAATAAAGATCCAATCTCAACGTCCGTAAAAAGTCCTTCTGCCCCTCATAATGATTTGGTATTGTAATTGTATCTGTAGTGGGAAATGTTGAAAGGTAAAACAATAAACTTGAAGAATTTTTTGATATTTTTCAGATTGGTGTACAAATGGTTTCTTCTAATCTACAAAGTCAGTTATTTTATTGGAATATTAGGATATATGGTAGTTATGTTGACATTGTTGGGTTTAAATTTATTATTTCTAATCAAACCTCAAATAGCTATGGACTTTGGACTGCTATGTTTATTCTATGGACTTTATTTTGGAGTTGTTAGTAGAGATTTTGCAGAAGTTTGTACAGATTCAATGGCAGCTCATATAGGGGTAAGTTTTCATGTGTGATATTAGAGAGTACTGATGTGTGTAGGTCTTATCTGCTAATTCTTATGTGGACAATAAGTCCATTTTAAACATGATATTAGAAAGAAAGAGTATTTCAAATAAATTATTCAAAATAATGTAAATTTGTGTACCGACACTCGTAGAACACATGACATGCATGACTAGCAAGGAAATGTTCAGTGTTCAAAGATTACTGGGATTGAAGACACACATCTAAATTTCACTATATAGCGTTTAACAATGAGGAACAATCTTTATCTCAGTCATAGAAAGCTCTTAAAGTTTGTAAATGTATTGGTCAAGTTTTAGTTTATCAACTGATTAACAAAATGTCACATGAGATTTGATAGTGTTGTGAGTTAATAGTTGTAAATGCTTGTTCAATTGATAAACATGAGAAAATATCCCATAGAATACAGATCAATACCAGATATATTAGTTTACATGAATTATTTAGTGTTTTTTCTATACTGTAAATTCAGAAATTATTGCATGCATTTATTATTGTGATTTTTCAAGAATAGACAAAAATGCGAGTTTAATTATTGCAATTTTGAAAAAAATCTGCATACAGGTCTATGTTTCAGTTATCAGAATGGGAGTTCTTATTATTGCGATACTCGCCCAGTCTCATTATTCGCATTGATGAAAACCTTGCAATAATTTCTGAATTTACAGTACTTCATGCTATATTATCTCATTTACATCTATCTATACCTGTTCATATCATTTTAGGGAAAGACCAGACTTTCCAGAGGAAATCCTTGTGTACCATTAAAGAAATGGAAAGATATTCCTATTATGAAATATCAGCTTGCAGCCTTTTTCTGATAAGTTCATTTTCACTCAGCAGTAAACCATGTATAAGCACCCTACATTTCTTCACTTGCCTGCCTTTGATTATATTTTTTACTTATTATATTTTCAGTACTTTACAGAAACTGGTTTACCAGGAAAGAGATTAGATCCAAATGTATGCGGTGTATGTGGGAACCAGATTTTAGTTATGAACAATGAAGATGCCATAATAGAAGAGACTTTTAAATTAGATTGTAATCATGTGTATCCTTTACTTAAGAAAACAGATGGATTTGTTCATGGCTGCTTATTTATGATTAGGTTAGATTGACTCTAATGTAAAGTTTAGATTTTTTAATAATAACAATTTTTGAATCCCTTATTCTATTAATACACATTGGAATCTCATCATCAATCTTTAAGTATTTTGTAACTTTCCATAAACTTGCAAAAGAATTTAAGAAAAGCAGGTAAATCTCAACTTATGACCTACAAAATTATGTGGTGAACACATGGCTTCAAAAGCCAGACATGACTTACAAAAATTATTTTTGTTTGCCTGATGTTTTCGGCTAAAATGGATGCCAAATGTGGGTTTGCCACTGTTACATGATTAAGAAAAAAATTGAGATTTTGGTGGTCTTTTCTAGCACAGGCATACTTTTCTAGTCATAAAAATTCGTAAGTGTTCCGCGGAACCCAGTGTCTCGCCTACTTTTGCTGTTAATCGCAGGCTCAACAAAAATGAAAAAAAAAAACTATCTTTTGATTGTAAGTAGCTTCTGTCCAAGTTTGGTAAAAATCCAGGATAATTTATGAATCTTAATAAATGTTTTAAAAACTTAAACTGCAGACTGTATCTAATGTTGACTGAAAGAAAAACTAAGTCCATTTATAAGTAAAATACGGAAAAAATGGAACAAAATTTTATCAAAATTTCCTTCTAGATACTAGCTTTTGATCATAAATAAGCTTCTTTCCAAGTGTGGTACAAATCCAGGATAGTTTAAGAAAGTTGTTAAAATTTTAAAAACTTTAACCACAGAGTGAATGTAATGTTAACTGGCAGAAAAACTAAGTCCATTTATAAGTAAAATACAGAAAAAATGGAATTTTTTTTTACAAAATTTACTTCTGGATACTATCTTATGATCCTAAACAAGCTTCTATCCAAGTTTGGTAGAAATCCAGGATAGTTTAAGAAAGTTATTAAAATTTCCAAAACTTTAACCACAGAGTGAATATTTGTGGACGCTGACGCCGACGGAATGTAGGATCGCTATGCCTCGCTTTTTCGACAAAAGTGGAAGGCTCGACAAAAATGACATGATGAGTAATTAGTGTAAAACAAGCCCACATTAGATACCCTTCACAAAGATAATTTATTACAATCAAGGTTAACCCATTGTCAGACAGCTGAGATCTACCTATTCACATGACAGGTAAACTATATAATACCGGAAATTGATAGATCTTTTTGAAGTTGTTTTTCATGTTTCACTGGTATGCATCTAAATAAAATTTGACAAAAAGGATTTAGTTTTATAAATATTTATTGAATTAAAAAGGTTTTCGAGTGAATATCAACAAAACCACATTGCTTAAGTAAAAGTGTGTGCTTTCTCATAACTTTCAAATTTAATTATGCATCAGAATTCTTTCAAAATGGAATTTTGGAAGCCCCAGGTGAACACCCATTTTTTTATAGCCTGTAATGAATGTATCGTCACACAAGGCAAGTCACACATATTACTTTACGATTTGGTGGTGTTAGAAAAGTTTTATATTTAAGGGAGAAAATACATTTATATTCACGTATTACATGTAAGTGCTTTATGGTCTGTTATTTTCATGACCTATGTTTATTAGTTGTCTTTGATTATATTTTCACAGTGCAATAAGGTATTGTAATCTACTTTATAAACATGGTTAAAAAAAAATTCCCTAAAAATCTCCTTACTTTTTATGAAATTTGAGTTGTATATGATCAGTTTATAGATTACTGATCAGAGTACCCATGATATATCTTATACATGTAGTCATTTATTTATATTTTCAGTATAATATGCTGTTACAATTATCCTTAACTACATAACCAGATTTCATGAGTTTTGTATCCGAGGCTGGTGCATTGTAGGAAAGAGACAAACATGTCCATACTGTAAAGAGAAAGTGGATCTCAAAAGAATGTTTCCTAGTCCGTATCCTTTCACAATATTGTATGTGTATATATTAAAGAAGGAGGAAAAAGAACAATAGATTAATTGAAGCTTGCTCAATGTCCAGTAGCAAATATTTCATTCATATTCAGACAAATTAGCAATCAGTACAATAGGTAGGACCAAAGTAGGTCAACCAGGAGGAAAGTAGGTCAACCAGGAGGAAGGTAGGTCAACCAGGACGAAAGTAAGTCAACCAGGACCGAGGTAGGTCAACCAGGACCGACCTACAAGGACCGAGGTAGATCAACAAGGTAGGTAAATTTGGACTGCAATTAGAAAATTGTATGTTGAATAAGCGCAGAAGTTTTGCCTTGCAAAAGGTCACCTATGAACCCTTCAAAGAGTTAATGCAAGGGGGTTCCTCTGAATAGCTGTTATTGTGGATGAACAATACATATCAAAGTAAAACTTCTGTAAATTTAAATATTCAACCATCAGTCAGAGTTGAGGAGGGCCTCAGTAGCCAAGTGGTCTAAGTAGTTCATCTAGTGTATCACTAGGCTGAGGTTGTAATTATAAACCCTACACATGGCATGTGTGTTCAAATCTAATCTTGATTTACTAGGAATGTCTGTTTTCCTGCCAAAGATCAGTGGTTCTCTCTGGGCACTGCAGCTTCTTTCACCTATAAAAACTTACTGCCTTATATAGCCAATAATGCCAAAAATGGTGTTAAGCACAAACTATCAATCAATCAGTCCAGGACAATAAAGGTAGTATCAAACTATCATTACTTCACTGGCTTAAATTATCTGATGTTGCTTTCAAGTATTGTGGAAATCATGATTAATATACACAACCATTGAGGAGAAAAAAAGAATTATGATTTCCCCAGAGCAGTGAATTTTGAAAACTAATTTTTTTATAGGCAGATATTTGCTTTAGCACTCCATTGTTTTTTGTGTCAAATACACCTGTGATTGAACAAATATTAGTTAATGAAAATATACACCCCATGCACACTAGTCGAAATATTTTTTTGTGTCTACTATCAGTTTCATAATATTTTATTTTCCTTAACAGTTAACCAGATGGGAAAGACCACATGTTTTATATGGAAATCTTTTAGATTGGATAAGATTTTTAGTTGCCTGGCAACCATTAATAATTATGCTTGTACAGGGAATTAATTGGTCGTTAGGTTTAGAATAAGTTTCATTTCATGAGTTGTTCAGTGTGTGATGAGGATTGGTTGTTGTGATGTATGTATGAGAGATAATTAATTCTATCGGTGAAAGTCCCATTGCTATTCATTTTGTTTTTCTTAATAAAAGCCAAATTGTTGATATATAATGTTACAGTATTGCTTTATTTTTAAGTTGATGTTTTTTCTTGCAGTAGAGTTTTTGTTTTGTCTGGCTGTAACTTTTGTACATAAGTTTTGTTAGTATATAAACTATAAGTACCATATGCATTTCTACAATGTAAGTGAACTAAAGTTTTCATCATACCTTTTTAGTTTTTTTTTACATTTGTCAAAACAAATACATAACAACCTACCAGAATCTAGTAAAACAATATTTCAGTAGAACAAATCTCACATTAATAATTTCAAAATTGAAATATTAAGGTTAAGTTTCAGATTTTTAAGGACTAGTTGCTGCTAAACTTTTAGGAAAAAATAATTCTTGATTAGTTTATTTAGATATAAAAAATTATATTAGATTGAAAATGATGGTTTTTAGATATGATAATACAAAGTCTGATTTTTAGTGCCAAATATAGGCCTTCTTGCCCGTTTTAGACCTCCTGTTAGAGTGCTGCTGATAAATCCAAGCAAGATTCATTTCCCCAAATCTACCACTTTTCCACAAATAAGGTTTATAGTGCATTTCTCTTCTCCTTGGTATGAGAACTTTGGATATAAATATATTGTCTATGTAAATCTCATGATTCAAAGTGAAGTCAATTTGGGTTCAGAAACAAGTTTAAAGACGAAAAATTATTTACCAAAAAATTAATCCATTTTAAAAAGATTGAAAATTATCATTGTAAGGAAGATAATTTTGTCCCCAGAATTCTCACTTTTGTTTCTTTTGTGATATCTTACCAGAAAAGAAAGTATTTATTTACTGAGAGTGTGTATAATACATTACATTGTTTTATAACTATATAAAGTGTAAAATGATGTCTATTAATTATTTCACTAAGAACCTACTATTCTTCTACAAATTATCTTTTCTTGGAGTGCATAGGTTCCATAGATTGAATACTGTAAACCAACTTATTTTCGCGTTTAGCCCTTTCTAGTCCACTTTCGCGTTTAGCCCTTTCTAGTCCACTTTGCGGCCATTTAATTTCGCGATTTTCAAATTTACTGGATGTAGTTTAATAAGGAAAGATCCATTTTTACATATTCACGACAATTTATATTCGTGTTATTTTTCTACTCACGAAAGTCGGGAAAATAAATCGCTCACGAAAATTTTTGCTTTACAGTATATAGAAGAGTTACAAAGAATGCATGTTGTAATGTCAAATACCTGTAATATTGTAAAATTTGGATAGAAAAGGGTAATATTGTTCATTTATGAAATGTATTAAATAATGAACCATTGTTAAAATGTAAATGGATACACTGTTCTGCATCCTTGCATAAAAACATATTTATTTTTTTCTCTGAAACTACTTGACCAATTTCAATCAAATTAAGCTTGATTAGACTAGAGGTATTAAGAAAAAAATAGTTTGTTCCTGTCAACTACTCATCATCACTTTCATGGATAAAAATAGAACTTAATTAAAATTAATTGTCTTATTTTTTGATAACCATAACAGATATGAAAAATCTGACAGTTTCAAAATGCTTAAAATGTCAAGTTTTGCTATTCATTAAATCAACTCAAATTATCAGACAACTTCTGATAGGAGTAACATGCCCATGGTGTCATTTTTTGAACAATTTTAAGGTTTTTGCTTATCAAGTCCTTTGAAATATGACCTTTCATTCATCACTTCTACAGTAAGAAAAGTTGATAATTGTCTCATTCAGTTAATGCACAACACACAATGATCATTGATCTTTAATATTGATATTTATACATAACCAGTTGAAACTTTTCATTTACATCAAAGCAATGTTAATTACAAAAAAAAAGAATTCGATGTCTTATTTATTACTAGTACTTAATAATTTGTTTGTTACTTATTTAAATATATTTAAGTTATCATATGTCAAGAACAAAATATATTAAATCCTGAACAAATACCTTTGACAGTTCTGTCTTTGTTTTCCCTTTGTCTAGTCAAATAAGTAATACTTTGATCTATGAAGTAATTATACCCCTGCTCGGAAGGAGGGTATTCTGGTTTACCTTTTTGATTCGAGCATCACTGATGATTCTTTTGTGGACAGAACACGTGTCTGGCGTACAAAATTTCATGTCAGTATGCTATACCATGTGATGGGTTTTCACATCAATCAATCAACAGCCATGTGTGAAATTTTCGTCCCATTTTTCTTGGGAACAATTAAGATATTCCTAAAATTTTCTATTAAGCTTTGTGTGAACATGCTTTACAATATGATATGTTTTCACATCCATCACTCATCATTGTCCTGTTAACCAGAAACTTATAGGAGGGGAATCATTAGTGAGCAATGCATAATTTTTGCCTCGCCTGTGATAACAGTCGCAGTATGCGAGACATAGGGATTACTATCCCGTTGTGGCTGTGGCCGACGCAGTTTAACTTATTTGTGTAAAAATTTATATTTCAGTCAGTAGAAGACCTAGATGCTTCATGCAGATACCTTATGATACGAAGTGTCTGTCTGTATTATGTCCATTGTCCTTGACCTCATTTTCAGGGTTCAAAAACTGCTTGAAAAAAAATTAGAGTTTTTTTGTCATGTGAATTTCTCACTTATTATGAGTAATATGAGTATATGGGTTCCTTGTAACTTCTACATGTTCATGAGACAGGGTTCACCTGACCTCAACCTCATTTCATGCATTAGTGATCAAGGTTAAAGACACATGCTTAATTCCGTTTCTCAGATACCATAAGCAATAGGTCAATTGTGTTTGGTGTATGGAAGGATTGTAAGGGGTACATGTCAGTCTGGCAGGTTTAATCTGACCTTGACCTCATTTTCATGATTCATTGGTCAATGTTAAGTTTTTATACGACCGCCAAAAATTTTTGCGGTCGTATATTGGTATGACGTTGGCGGAGTCGTCGTCCGAAGACACATTGGTTTTTGCACTCTAACTTTAGTTTAAGTGAATGGATCTCTTTGAAATTTTACCATAAGGTTCAATACCACAAAAGGAAGGTGGGGATTGATTTTGGGGGTTATGGTACCAACAGTTAAGGAATTAGGGGCCAAAAATAAGCATTTTCTAGTTTCCAGACAATAACTGTGGAACGGTGTATGGATCTCTCTGAAATTATACTACAAGTTTCCATACCACAAAGTGATGGTTAGGATTTGCTTTGGGGGGTTATGGCTCAAACCGTTTAGGAATTAGGGGCAAAAAAGGGGAAAAACAAGGTTGTCCTGGTTAATGGACAAATACTTTAGTACAAAACATAATTTAAAGCAGTGTAAGGGAGATAAATCAAATACATCATTGAAATTATCTCCCTTACACTGCTTTTAAATTATGTATAAAGTAATGGTTAATGAAAAATTAAGATAATTTAAAACAGTGTAAGGGAGGTAATCCAAATACAATGTTTTGGTTACTTCCCTTACACTGCTTTTAAATTATGTTTAAAGAAATGCATATTTATAAAGGAAGAGCAGTAAAAATATCTGCAAATGTTGCATCTTTTTTTTTTACAAAAAAATCCATATGAAAGATTTGACACTATATTTTAAATTCTATTATAAAATAGATTAAGTTAGCACTATGGTAAATTTAAATGGGTAATTATGGTTGCAAACTCCATTGGAAATTTTAATTGAGATTATGACCATATCTTGAGGGAAAGAATTTTTTGGGGAAAAAAAGGGGGGGGGGGGAGAAAAGAAATTGTGGGGGGTCATTTTTTTCTCATTTCAGATTTCAGAAATTAAAAAGAATTATTCTTCAAATATTATTTTTTTTTCAAATTTCAAATATTGAAAAATTTCAAGAAGTAATCTTTAATTGCACAGTATGGCGCATTAGATTTGTAAAATCTTTGACCACATTTATTTATTTGTTATGCCGAATCTAACCATGTATTTAGATTTTTAATTTTGGGTCCAGTTTTCAAATTGGTCTACATTAAGGTTCAAAGGGTCCAAAATTAAACTTAGTTTGATTTTAACAAAAATTGAATATATGGGGTTCTTTGATATGCTGAATCTAAACATGTATTTAGATTTTTGATTTTTGGCCCTGTTTTCAAGTTGGTCCAAATTGGGGTCCAAAATTAAACTTTGTTTGATTTCAACAAAAATTGAATATATGGGGTTCTTTGATATGCTGAATCTAACCATGTATTTAGATTTTTTATTTGTGGACCCCGCTACCAAATTGGTTCATATTGAGGTCAAAAGGGTCCAAAATTAAACTTTGTTTGATTTCATCAAACATTGAATTATTGGGGTTCTTTGATATGCCAAATCTAACCGTGTATTCAGATTATTAATTTTGGGTCCAGTTTTCAAATTGGTCTACATTAAGGTCCAAAGGGTCCAGAATTAAACTTAGTTTGATTTTAACAAAAATTGAATTCTTAGTGTTCTTTGATATGCTGAATCTAAACATGTGTTTATATTTTTGATTATGGGCCCAGTTTTCAAGTTGGGGTCCAAAATTAAACTTTTTTTTAATTCAACAAAAATTGAATATATGGGGTCCTTTGATATGCTGAATCAAACCATGTATTTAGATTTTTTATTTGTGGGCCCCGCTATCAAATTGGTTCATATTGAGGTCAAAAGGGTCCAAAATTAAACTTTGTTTGATTTCATCAAAAATTGAATTATTGGGGTTCTTTGATATTCCAAATCTAACCGTGTATTTAGATTTTTAATTTTGGGTCCCGTTTTTTAAATTGGTCTACATTAAGGTCCAAAGGGTCCAAAATTAAACTTAGTTTGATTTTTAACAAAAATTGAATTCTTGGGGTTCTTTGATATGCTGAATCTAAACATGTGTTTATATTTTTGATTATGGGCCCAGTTTTCAAGTTGGTCCAAGTTGGGGTCCAAAATTAAACTTTGTTTGAATTCAACAAAAATTGAATATATGGGGTTCTTTGATATGCTGAATCTAACCATGTATTTTGATTTTGGACATTGGACCATAATAGGTAAATTAAAAAAAATCAAGTTCTTAGACCACATTCTTTTTGTGTCAGAAACCTATGCTGTGTCAAATATTTAATCACAATCCAAATTCTGAGATGTATCAAGCTTGACTGTTGTGTCCATACTTGCCCCAACTGTTCAGAGTTCGACCTCTGCGGTCGTATCAAGCTGCGCCCAGCGAAGCATTTTATTGTAATTTGGTCTGTATTTCAAATACTATAAGCAGTAGGTCAACTGTATTTGGTGTATGGAATGATTGTAAGGTGTACATGCCAGCCTGGCAGGTTTAATCTGACCTTGACCTCATTTTCGTGGTTCATTGGTCAATGTTAAGTTTTTGTGTATTGGTCTGTTTTTCAAATACCATTAGCAGAAGGTCAACTGTATTTGGTGTATGGAATAATTGTAAGGTGTACATGATGTCTGTCTGACAGGATTTATCTGACCTTGACCCTATTGTCATTGATCTTTATTGGGAGCGGGGATATTTACTTTGCATTAAGTATTTTCAAATAATTGAACTTTTCATATATGTTTCGTAAATAAAAAAATGAGTAGAAGAAAAAGAAACGTGTGATAGACGGTAGACATTGAAAACAAGTGAAGCAGCATGTAGGAAATGTTTGATAAACATTTTGGTATGCTCTCTCAGTTTTCAACAAGTCTTAGTACTATGACAGTTTGTTTATGTCAAATGTTTCTCATGATGACCAAAGACTGAGAGAAAAATTAAGATGGCATCCCAATTTCAGAGTTAGATTGTTGATATATTTAAATCCCAATCTTGACTAGGATTTTGACAGTCTTAGAAGAGCTAGAAACGTAGATTTTCATATAAGGTGACAACTTTCTTTACAACCAGAAAGTCATAAAAGGGCTGATTTACTGGGTTTGTGTTCGTCAGGTGAGGAAATCTCATGGGAGTAGTTCTGTATTTGGTGTTAAGGCTAGTAATAAATCAAAGTAAATTCGGAGTAGATTCTACAAATATTAACATGTTCAACGTGCAAATAATATTGTATGTAGTCGGTCTCAACTGAGACATAATTATGTTAACATTGAAAGTGATACTTATGAAACGTAGAAAGACAACAATTTAAATGTTTTGATAACATCTTAAGGAAGATACTCGTAAAGAAACAGCAGAAAGATTAAAATATTAGAAAATCCTCTGACAATTAAAACTCTTGAGAAATTGACAGCATTTTCAAGGATGAATATCAAATTTCCAAGGTCGGACGATTTTGTTAGAACCAATAATTAGAACCTTACATGGAAAAAAAAGTCATTGAATAGACACAAATAGTTGTCTCCAACCCCTTGACACAGATAGAAAGGTTAGCTTATCAAGGTCAGCTGGCTGCTTGCATGGGTATAATATCAGTGCTCAGTGGCGAATCCAGAAATTTTCATAAGGGGGCCCACTGACTGCCATAAGAGGGGACCCGCTCCAGTCATGCTTCAGTGATCCCTAAATAATCTACCAATGTTTTCCCACAAAAAGGGGGGGGGACTGCCCCCTAAATCGGCCTCTTGTGCTGTACATGCAGCAATCTTTAGAAACTAGAGAAGGTCGAGTTAAAAAAAGTTGCAATTACCGATAATTAAAGATTTATTTTCAAATTTCTACAAAGTTGCATGATATATTTGGACGCACAGGAGCTTTTTCACATTATTCAAGGAAAAGCTGCAGCTTCCGAGTTAGGTTTTAAAAAATTTAATAGATATTTAGGTGAATGTCTTGTATTTGCCTATCTTGGAGAAGGGAGTATTTGACAAAGGTTTAGAAGTACAAACTTGAGAAACGTAAAGAATAACATGAACAACAACAAAACAATTTTCTAGTTTCAAATAAGGACGGGGGAAAAGGAGGCCAGTTATAAAGCTCAGACCCCTCAATAGTTATTCCAAGAAAATATATTTCAAAATGGATATTCCGACAAAAGTTCTAAACTTAGT